GAAGGTGGCATGGAGGAGAGGTGTGCGTGTGTCTGTGTGCGGAGGCAGGGCAGAGAGATGTGGCGTCTGACGGACTCGGAGAGATGCTGTGAGCTCTGGTATTAGCAGGCAGCTGCGCACCGAGCCGCTCTCTCCCCTCCCTCCCCAGCTGCTCTCTTCACACCGACCATTCGCTGAAACCGGGGATTCGGCTCCACACGGCTCGCTGTGCTCACTACTACCGCTGGCATCCTGCAACAGAGAATTGATACAACCAGGTATGTGCATCGGTGGAGCCCATTAGGGCGCTGGATGCGTGTTTGCATGGTTGTGGTGGGTGAGGGAGTGGGGGGTCTTGACTGTTCTGACTTCATCCTTCTTGTTGCTTCCCTCCCCTCCCTCTGTGGCCCTGTCAGTGGATTAATGAAACGTTATTTGGGGAGGATGCGGTGAGATGGCATCTTCTGTCGATGCAGCTGGGGTGTGAAATACAAATAATGCAAGGTGTTAATTACATTTTTTCGTTTTATTGCTTACTCTTAAATCCAGATCTGACACAAACACTCTCGATTTACAATTGTCTCATTGCTTTCGTTCTCACCTTTCACATGTTGTTGTGCATAACGCACAACACGAACCCATGTGAGCAACGATGTTGTTTCACACTGAGCAAATGCGATGAGACTGCTTCTTGTCATGCTGGCCAAAGAAATTGTAATATTTTGATGAATACGGATAGACAATCTGTTGTTATGTTGGCTGGATTCCTACGGCTGCAGGCAGATATTTCACTGATGGGAAATACACAGGTTCGGAGTGGGGAGGCAAAATGTAGCTGAGGCTGGGCGTGTGGGCAATATGATCTGAGGATGCACACACCCTCACATGCTCATCCCCCACTGGTTTGCTTCGCTTTTCTCTCCAAGCAGCAAATGCACGCTCAAAAGCAATCACGCACGGAGGCATGCAAGGCGCACATGTGTGTGCATGCACGGATGCACACAGAGTGGCACACGGAGAGGCGTGCACAAACCCACATGTGCACTAATCCACACTCGGGCATAATCCATAATCATGTGTAATGGAGACATGACGTAACACATGGCTATATCTAACCTATATGCATCCGTTTGTAAAGGCAGTTTCACCCAGAGTGATAACAGCAGGCAGTGGATTTGCTTGCAGCATAATAACCTCAAATTGGCATACTTGGCGTTTTCGTCAGGAGAACAGAGAAGACTGTACTGTTGTGAGAAATAGGTTAGCATGCCTCAGACTGACACTCATTTTCATTAAAGGAAAGTGGCAGGGACTGTGGGCCTGTGAGAAATTGAGTTTTTTTTAGAGTGCTCTGATATTCAGATGCATTAAGGGAAAAGGGGGTAAATAGGTCCCCTGGCATTAATTCAGGGCCTCTGGTAGCAAGTAGAAAGTGGGTGTGGCTGAGGTGCTCCCCCTTTCTCTGGAGGTTTCTCTAGTCTGACTCACACGTGGGAGTGGCTCTACTTCAGGAGCACAGGAATTCCCAGATTTTCTTGAGTCATCTATATTTTTGGCACTCTAAACTGACTAAGCAAGTTGACTCTGATCACTTTACTTTACAACAGAACAGACAGTTGGAGAGTCAGAAACAAGAGACACAGAGCAGTTTGAGATGTTGTGCCTTGCTCAAAGCACAGCATAGGCCTGTGATTGAAAGAAGAAACTAACAGATGATAATAGGATAGGAAATCAAATTCACAAAAACGCAACATTTTTGTGTTTTAGGCCTATGCTTGAACATGTACTTACGTACTTACTCATATTATGTAATAAATGTAATAACGGTTAGCCATAGATAGTGTATGTGCCAGATAACGCCTTATTTAATGGTGAGAATTGAATTGTTTATTGCTCATCCTATCAACTGGTTACTATTATATATTTAGCTAATACAGAATTCTTTCAAGTGCAATGCAGCTGCTTGTATATTGCTACAGGGCAAGGATGAACAGTGGCAGAGATGCTGTGGATCTAGATAATCCAGCATGTGATCTGATTATCACATGCGCCAGTTGCTCGGAATAAAACGTACCATTTCATTTGTAGCCCATTTTTATGCTGAGTCTGCCCAAAAAGCAACTTCTTTGCAGGTTGTACTTTCAAATTGATGACACAAACACACGTGTGGGATGAGGTGGTGCTATTATCCGTCATCCTTTTCTCTTAATCTGCATCATTACGCCCAAATGGGACGATACGGGCGATACCTTGTGGGTATTATCAGGTCATTTGCCTATCAACTCCAGCTGGGGAAGAGGATGAATGCTTCATTTATCAAACATTACCATGCAGATGTCAGGGTGTTGGCTGTGTTAAGAGAAGAAGGCAGCTCCCTAATTGGTAATCAACACTGATTAAACACTAGTACTCCTTTAGTGTGATTTGTCCAGAGAGAGTGCAGCCACAGTGCAGCAAGGTGCTTCACAGAAGTGATGTTCACTCACTGCTACAGTACACAGCAATCCTTGATGCTGTCAGCCATGATTGTTGCTGTACTTTAATTTAGAACATAAAGCACATGACATTATAGGTTGTGTCGAATATGCATTATGTAGTAATAGGTTATCTTTTTTTAAAGTATGAATTATATGGGCTGAAAGGGTAACATGAGAAAAGTCAAAACATAATCTAGACTTGTAATTTAAACACTATGCACTCTATACAACTTGGATAATCCAATTATCTTCACTAGTGACCTGTCTGTTTAAACATGGCACCTTGACTACAAATCTAATTCAAGTTAGACACAGATTTGTGATATTTGCGACAACTTGACATTTGAGTATGATATTCTGGATTTTCAATTACAATTTTCAAAAAAGTATTTTATTTTTTTATTGTCTTTAATTTTTGGGGGGCTAATCAGTCACTCCCTGCTAAGTGCTAAAGATAGCTCTTTAACTCAGTAGAATGCCAAACAGAGTAACAAGAAATTCCACCAGTCTCAATGCATATATTCAGTTGTAATAATAATTGCATGTTATTACTATGATACACAGTATATTGACTCTAGTGAATCTCCTGCTCTCTACTGTTAATAATAATCACTTCATTAATCACTTCATGGGAAAATAAATTGTGAAATTTGGGATAACTTAAGTTGTGTTTATAAAAAATACTAAACCACTACAAACATGTTTTTGCTTAGAAATGACTCATTTATTTAACCTACTAGAGTAAACCACCACTCTACAAATACCCCAGAGGAATGCAGCTCACTGATTCAAACAAGCAAAGTGTGGTTTATCAGTGTCACCTCATAAGTTTCTGAATGCAGATAGTAGTTTGAATTTCATAAGAGAGCTACAAATACCAGTGAAAGTCATGGCAATGTCAGGACATATTTAGACAACATCTGATGGGATTTATTTGTGGGAGGGACAGTGTTTGGTCGTGACCCATCATGTGGCAAAGGTCTGCAGTTGGCTTTAGTCCCATTTACAAGAGAGCTGAGTCATGATACCAAAACATATCGTACTCCTTTAACCTACTCTGTTGTCATTCCCTGTCGGTGATAGGAAATATTAAAGCTTCTTTTCTATTGTTATTATGACCATACAAACCTGTCACTGAAGATGGACAGTTTTAAGTCTGACGATTTAGTGAATACAGTTAGTAAACTAGCTCATACATTCAGGTTGGCTCTGCGGTACAAGACCTTTGTGACATAGTAACTCCTTGCACAAAGAGTATTGCCCCAGGCCTGCCCCAAACCTTGTCCTGTGAAGTTAAAACATCGAGCTCTGGAGTCATTCCATCAGAATTGTATCAGGTAGGATTACATCTATGCTGACAATCTAGCTTTTAGCTCTATTTGCTATTGCCTGGTTCTTCTTCAGAGCCCAACAATAAAGGCTAAGTGTGATTCTGAGTTTCACAGTTCATTTAAAGTAAGCATGTCTCTGTGGTCATGAGACTGTAGACACATCAAGTTCTAAACACCAGAACTAATGTGAAGCAGCTGTCAGATCCTCTGCACAAAACATCCATCTTTAGATCCAGTTGGCTAGTTCCATAATATTTGAAAGAAGAAAAAACAGTCTATATAGTACAATTCAAGTACCGGTATCTCTGCCCCCCTTTCCCTGAGCCTAAGGTTGCCATATTGTCTGATTTGTAATTATATAGTCTCCTGAACATGTCCATTATGATACCTGAATGGTTCAGGTGCTGAACAAGTCCAATTAAACTAATTGGGAATTTAAACAACGTTATAGGTCATTACCTTCAACATTCATAAAAAGTGATAACATCCACATCTTTTGAGCCACTAAATACAAAAAAATACTAATATTTTAAAATATATTTTGTATCATAAGTACATTATTAAAGAATAGTTATTGTTTAGTTTAGTGCTCCCCATGTTCCATTGGTCCCATGGCAAGAACATTGTATCACTGAAGCAATTAGAATAATTGGCCAGCTAGCTCCTGCTGAAGAAGCTGGATACATCAATGTTGCTATAGTGGGTCTATTGACCTTGACTTTTACACACACACACAAACACACGTACATCACTGTACACACACAGTCATATAAACATGCAATTGATTAGCCCCATCCCCACATACACAAACACACAATACACACGATACACAAAGGCTCATTCAGTGAATTTCTTTGTTTCTCTCTTTTCAATTAATAGTACCTTTTGACATCATCTGAATCATTATTTTTTTTGCATAATTTGTAGATTGAGACTTTTGAAATTATCCTGCTTGTCTTAAAATATGATATGGGAATCTGCAACCATTAAGTAATTACTCTTTTCTTTGTCTTTCAGGGAGATGTTCCATTATTGGAGGAAGGACACTGGATTTAGAAGTTATCACTGAGAGGCGTCGCAAACTGTGGTTTCGGTGATTGCTAGCTGGGTTCCTGCTGTCAAGCAAAGGCTGATTGTGCTTGGCTCACCATCGCTGTATTCTCAGCCAACTTCTTTCACTAGATGATAACAACAGTTCACAGGATTACCATCCATGGTTTCTGCCCTAATAAAGACTATATCATCCTACATTAAAAAGATTTGCAAAGGAATGTTTACAAAGAAATTGGCAAAACCAATAAAGAAGAAAGAGAGAAGCGAAATTAAAGAGCCCAAATTGACCACTGATTTGCAAGAACACAATCTAACTCTCTCTACCACACTGAAGACTACAGTTAAAAAGATTTCCAAATGCTCTTCGGCACGTAACATATCACTTGAAGAGGACGACGGAAAGAACGACTGCTCATCTCTGTCACCCACTTTTAGCTATCGTGTAGCTATAGCAAATGGACTTCCGAAAAACTCTCTTTTTTTGAATCATAATGAAAGCATCTTTCCCGAGGTTCTTTCAATTGATAGTAGCTACTCTGACACCTTGAGTGAGACAAAACCTGTCAGACGACTGGATGAACAAAAATCTCACACTATGCCAGTAAGACGAAACAGAAAGAGCCTCATCAGTTTGGCTCCCTCTGATGGCAGTTCTGAGGGTGAACGAGTGGAACGGTCCAGTCTTCACACACTTAGGCTGGGTGCTCTACGCAAGTTAAGAAAATGGAAAAAGAGTCAGGAGTGTGTCTCGTCAGACTCCGAGGTGAGCAATTGGAGGAAAACCCTGGGCATCCGGAGCAAGTCCTTGGACCGTGCTGGACGGCAGCAAAAGAGTTCGACCCTGGAGCCTGGCTCCTCCTCCACAGGCTGCATCAGTCAAACCCAGGATGTCATGGAGATGATATTTAAAGAGCTTCAAGGAATCAGTCAGATAGAGACAGAACTGTCTGAGCTACGTGGTCATGTAAATGCTCTTAAAAGCTCCATTGATGAGATCTCCAGCAGTGTAGAGGTAGTTCAGAGTGAGATTGAGCAGCTTCGCTCAGGATTTGTACAGTCTAGAAGGGAAACACGAGATATTCATGACTACATAAAACAAATTAGTCACCAGGCCAATAACTCAACCTTACGATTCATCAATGTTCCTGAGGAAAGGTCAGAGAAAACAGAGATTATTATATACAAAATATTGAAAGAGAAAATGGGTTTCATTGATGCCCATAAAACAATTAAAATTGAGCTTGCTCATAGGTTAGGACAACAAAGAGAATGTTCAAATGCAAAACCCCGCCCTATTATTGTTATTTTTGCAACAACCCAAGATAGGGATGTAGTGTTGAAAAAATGCTATAAACTTAAAGGAACTGGCATTACAGTTTCTACTGACAGCTTAACTCATGATGGAAAAGACAGAAAAGACAAAACAATGTCTTCCTCACAAACTTATGAAAGCATGGATATAAAGGTCTCAGGAAAGGATAAAGTGGTGGAGAGTGACGACTGGGACTCGATGGACAGTGATAAAGAATTAGATGAATTAAGCAGAAATAAATATGCAATGGTGATTTCAAAGCCTGTTCACAAGAGCAAATCAGAGAAGAGGAGATCCCATGACCATAGTCGGTCAGGAGAGGAAGCAGGCTACTCAGGCACAGTTCACTATGCTGATGACTCTTACTATGACCCAGACAAGCATGCAAAGGCATACTACTCTGATTGACCCCTGGTTGGCTTTCCCAGAGTGACTATTCCACCCCTAAACTGAGCCGTTCAGAGTCTGACTGCTCAAAACTTTGCCAGTCATACTCAGAGGACTTTTCAGAGAGTCAGTTCTTTACACGGGCTAATGGCTGCTCCCTTCTGTCCTCCTCAGATCAGGAACTATGGCAGAGAAAACAAGAGGACATGGCTACCTCCTGGTATGCTAGCCCAAGTCACACACTTAGCCACGAGAATCAAACCTATGAACATAATGAGGTTGAGACTACAGAAACTATTGACAGTGGTGTGAGCAATGGACTTGTCTGCATGTCTGGAGACAGAAGCCACTACAGTGGCTCACAGGTCTCTCTGCAAGGTGACCTTTCACCATGGAAAGACTGGCATCATCTGGAGCAGGGTGCCGACTCTGGTCTGGAAGCCTCCATCGAGGTTAACAGTCCCTTTGACCCATCAACCATTCCTGGTTTTCCAGAAAACATCACTAAATGTCAGGAGGTGGATTTACAATTTGAGGGAGATGAGGAATTCATGATGCTTGACAGAGAATCTTGCCTACCACCTATTACCACCCACATTATCCCTCCCATCGCAGAAAGGGAGTCTGTCATCAAGACACCTGCCCGGCAGTCTAAAGAGGGATGCAAGATGACAACAAAAGAAAGCATGAAAGCATCTTCTAAAGATTCCCCTAAAGCGGCCACTAAAGTGACACAAAAACAAACTAAATTAACTCATAAAGAAGAAACCACCAAAATATTACCAAAGGAAAGTCCGAAGGTATCTGCTAAGGTTTTACCTAAAGTGACTTCTAAAGCTGCTTCTAAAGAATTTCCTAAAGAGATTCAGACAACAGTTAAAGAATCATCACAAGCCCTCCCGAAAGACAGTAAACCACCTAAAGTTGCCCCCAAACCCACTGTTAAAGAGGTATCTAAAGTGACATCCAAGGTAACTTCTCCTGAGGCTTCTAAAGTCACCCCTAATGTTACACAAAAAATTAGCCCGACAATGACTCCAAAAGCAAGTCCTAAAGAGTCACCTAAAGAGAGCCCGAAAATAACCCCAATTGAGAGCCCGATCTCAACCCCTAAAGAGTCCCCTAAAGAATCTCCTAAAGAGTCCCCCAAAGTCATTGCTAAAGAACCCCCACAAGTTCCATCTAAAGAAGCTCTGAAAGTAACTGCAAAAGAGGTTACCAAAGAAACGTCAAAACCACCCTCAAAAGAGGTCGCAAAGGAGATGCCAAAAGTAGCACCTCAGGAGATTGGTAAAGTACCCACTAAAGAAGTTTCTAAGATTCCACCTAAAGAAACCCAAAAGGTACCCTCTAAGGAAAATTCTGTAGTGGAACAAAAAGAGACCCCAAAGGTTGCCCCAACAGATGCCCCTAAAGTAGCACCTAAAGTAACTTCTAATGATGCCCCTAAGGAACGCCCCAAAACCATTCCTAAAGAGAAGTTCCCTGAACTGGATGTCAATCATAGCTTTCACCAAACTCAGAATAAGACTTCAACTATGTATCGCAGTCAGAGTGAGATTCGAACAGAGAAGGTTGAGGAGGTTCCCAAGTCTTGGAGCAGTAGGCTCAGCATAGATCTCAGTGAGAAGTCCTTTGGTTTTGGGTTTGGCTCTACACTTCAGAGGGCAAAGTCAGCTCTTGAGGTAGTTTGGAAGTCTGGCACTCCAGGTACCCCTGCTCCTCCTGAAGAGCCCACCAACTCTTCCACATTTATGGGACGTTTCCGCACCATGTCAACCTCCGCTGCAAGTGAGTCTAGTACTGCAATAGACTCTGATGTCGGCACCGAGCCTGTCTTCCACAAGGCAGATGAAGAAAAAAAAGCTGCAGAGACAGAATCTCGGGAACAATCAGTGGATAATGAAACCCACTATGTTGAAGTGATGGAGCAGGTACTTGCCAACTTGGAGAACCGAACTAATGCTAGTGAGACAGAGGAAACTGAGGAAACAGAGGAGACAGATGAGGCTGCACAGGATTGTGAGACTTCTCAGGACTATGATGTGTCAGATGATATTGAGGCCTCTCAAGACAATAATGCCTCTCAGGATTTTGAGGCCCCCCAAGAATTTGAAGCCACAGGTGACTTTGAGGCAGCTAAAGAGGCACAAGTTCTTGAGTATGATTGCAGTTTGGATGAGCAGTATGATGAAGAATACAGTGAGGATTATGAAACCCAACTTACTGAGGACACTGCTGAATATGATGCAATGGTGGAGTATGTAGATGTAGAAGAACCGGATGAGACTGAGGACAATGATGTGACAGAGGAAATGGATGATGTTGATGAGGAGTTAGAGGAGGTTGAAGAGATAGCAGAGGAGGCTGCTGATGTTTTGGAAAAAGTGGACCAACAGCAAGAGGATGAAAACAAAAATGTTGCAGAGGAGAAACCCACAGAGGCCCCACCCAAGAAACGTGTTAGACCCACATTCAAGGAGGCAGCACTGAGGGCCTACAGGAAACAGATGGCTGAACTGGAACAGCAGATCCTGGCAGGGGGTACAACTCTTCATTTATTTTTTTTTGTTACAGTAAATATGACTTTCTACCATTTTGCAATGGTTATATTGGCAATGTGTACACATTTAACAGACAGTGTAAGAGTATTTTTATGTCATATAGAGCCAGCACTTAGCCCTCTTACCTTGTGGAATTTTGACTGTTAAAGTTAATCAATAACAGTTGCTGAAATTTTTTTCAATCAATCAGCAACAGCTTACAGAGTGCAATTGATATAACAAGCTTTTTTTCTAGAAAGTTAAACAACATCACTGGTTTGTGTTAAGAGCACCTTAACAATTTGATTTGCAGAATTAGCTAACAATTTAAAAGCAACTGTTTTAAAAACTGTTTTAGGTAGAAAGTTGATGCATTCAAGTTTCCACCTCAATATCAAAAACACAAACATTGAGACCAGGGAAAGTGCAGCATGACTTGTTGAAAAAAGTTTTATGCATCTCACGACAATGGGCCATAGAATATTAAAACAGTGGGAATTCATGTTGGATATTAACAAATTTTCAGTAGTCAGACAAAACAGTCCAAAACATTGGTTGGTTCTAATAATGCTTAACATCAAGGGAGTCAACCGTGTTCTAATTTAAGTTTCTGAATCATATTAAACAACTTATCAAAAAAGAAATACCAAATGTCGAACTTGGTACTTAAAGTAGGGATTTGTGTGTCGGGATTGCTAATGCAATATATTTTCTTTCTGCAATATGTGGTGCAACATAAATACTGGAATTTACAAGATAGTGGAGTGTGTTTTAATGTATCAGTTAATATTTAATCAGAAATTATATTTTTTAATAATTTGAGTCTAATTGTGCTGGGTTCAGCCCTCTGACAGCCCCATCATGGAGAAGAAGAGACAACAGGTCGAGAGATAACTTTACAAATTAACTTCGGCCTTGTTATTGTGTTACTATCATTTCATCAACCATTTCTAACTGTGTTTAAAGCAGGGTTACTCAAGTGCAGGACTCAACCCCTGATTTTTTGTGCCTTAAAACTGACCTGTGCACTGATGATTAAGACTCAAGCATCAACTGCATTTTGGACTTGGAAGATGGAAAGGAGCCCTCTGGCTTATTTATTGATTAAGGCTGTGTTTTTTCAAACCTTATTCAATTTTGGAAAAAGTTTGCACGTGTGTTCACCTGCAGGCGCGTTCATGCGCTGTCTTGTTCTGCCACAGTTCTGCTGTCAAAGTCAAGGTCATCTTTATTGTCTATTCTTGCCATTCCTACTGGACATGTAAACTAATGATAGATAGCTAGATCGATAGATAGATAGATAGATAGGTGAACTTTATAAATCCATTGGGAAGGTTCCCTCAGGGAAATTCAGATTCTAGCAGCAGGTAGCACCTGCAGTAATTCCACCGCAGTAGAAACATCAAGTGCGTCTCTCCTAGAGGGACACTGTGCGCATTTCTGCATGATACACAGTGCTTTAACTACATTAAGACTTTTAATCTCCAGACATACAGACAGGATCGCTCAGAATCTAATATTTACAAATGAAATGTTCTTTCTACCCTTCCAAAAGGACTCTAACAGTCAGTTGTGGTTCATACAGTGAAATACTTGTAGTGAATGGCCGTCTTCTCCATATATAATTATTGATTATAATCCAAACTAAATCAAAGCTGAAGCCCGTCTTGTAACTTGGCTCATACTCAACCTTGAGGACTCGGACGTGGACTCTGACTGGGGTAGTGGGGACTCGACTCAGACTCAGGTAATGGGGACGACTCGGATTTTCTTTGTTGACTCGAGACTCACTCAACTCATACTCAAGGTGACTCGACTACAGTCTAGTTCAAAGTTATGTTTAGTCTACATGACCACTAGTCCCCTGTGATAGTAACTTCAACTTAAATGAAACTCACGGCCTTTACTGCATGTGATTCACATAAGACTACAGCTGCAGGCAGGTGTGGACACTAAAAGTAAACACTCTGTCCGTCCCGTTAATGGCCTGTCTGTGTGGCCACAGCATTAAACAGCACCAGGGCCAGATGCTACGGATATAGAGGGAATACATTAACTTAAATTCTGCCTTGCATACTTAGGTGTCTGCCTCGGGCAGCTGCGTTTCGTGCATGTTTACATTTAATAGTCACGTATGCTGTACACAAACAGTTTCTGCTTCTTCCTCTAGTTCTAAATCTCACAGCACATGTCTTTTATTAACAGCAACTGGCACTATGCTTGACTTTTTTTTAATTTTCTTTTGTTTTTAATCAAGGTCAGCATTATTTGCCTTGTTTTTTAGTATGTTGTACAGTGGTTAGCATTTTTCTTCTTTTTGTTAGTAGTTTGCTTTCAGATGCACTATAGCCACCGTCTGGTGGAAGTACTGCATTAAAACATACAGCTGTAAAATATAATGGGAAAAAAGAAATTCAGTCAGAATTAAAGAATTATTAGACTTTGATCCACTCAAAGTAAGTCTTAGTGACTCCTATTTGAGTGCTCATTTATTTTAAGTTGAAACAACTGTAGAGAGGACTCTGTCTGAAGGCTTAAGGACGTGATAGCGATGGCTTTGACTTTGTGTTTTGATTCCCATGGCGCTTTACTATATTCTCTTTTCATGCACTGTGGCTCAAGGATCATGACTTTCAAACATGTCATTTCGAGGTTTTTCATTCAAATGTAAAACACTTACCGCTTACCCTACCGCTGGCTTACAATTCTTTCGGACTCAAACATGACTCCACTCTTTGGGTGTCATGCAGGGGTTCAAGCATGACACAGTTAACGCTAATAGGATGATAAAGTCTGTTTACATTAAGCTAACCCTGAATATGTCCTGTATGTCACGGATATTTGCACTACAGTTTTAATCAGACATATTCTATTGTATACATTTAGCAGAAAGTTATGCCAATACACTAAGGTCTATCACACATTTGCCTCAGTGAGGAAGTGGCCCTTAATCCAAGTACTCAATAGCTCATGGGCCAAGGCTTTCTTTGGTTAAAAAAAGGATGTGATTTAAAATCAGCATGGGTATTTAAATGGTTTCCATTGTTTCACTGTGAAGAGTAAGAGTTCAACTAGAGTGAAAAAAGAGACCAGGGAATTTCCACTGTTACTTAAAATGAAAAAGTGTTTGACCTACATATGTACTGTAGCTGCAAATGTGGCACTCACAGTGAGGTAGGCACTATAGTTCAGGGAATAGAGGCTACACCTGACTGTGAGGCTGTGTGAGAAATGTGTACACAAACCTTTTCAGTGGTCACATTTACTAAACATCCTGTGGAAAACAAATTCAGTACTGTTACTGTCACCTTTTCTCAAGACAGAGGATACTTTACTGTATGTTATTATCAAAATTATAACCATAGGCCTTTACATAACTCCTCTAAATTATGAACTTTAGGTAACTTCAAGAATGAGTGCTTACTCATCCTGTCCACACAGTGGAAATATAGTTAAAGGGTGTGTACCAATAACTCTCCTTGAAAACTTTTTTCTACGGCTAATTAAAATCCTTGTTGTTTTTCAAAACCCCAACAAAAAGATCATGGCCATTAAACTATAAAATATTAATGCTCATTCAAAGATATTGGTATATTTGGAATGAATGGAAAGGTCATATTTTACTGACTGTGAGGTTCAGCATTTATTCATTGGATTTTTTGTGTGCAGGGCTAATAGACGAAATGAGTAAAGAGTCAATCTGACAGTCTGACTCATTGACTGATTGACTAATTTCTATATGCTGAAAATGTATGTTAGGTGAGGTCTGCAGTAAAAACTCCAAAAACAAATGTGTGGCCAATTATCTTAACTACCGTATTGCTTTTTTCTCTTTTATTCAGTTTTCCATTGAAATGTTTTTAACCTGGTTTGAAGTATTAGATAATATTTCTCTTAGGGTTTCTAGGTTTTGTTAGACAAAATAAGTCCTGATCTCATTGCACTGCTAGAAGCCAGAAGTTGGTCGAGAAATGCACAGATAAGGGTAAATGCTATGCAGGAGTATCTAAATACAAAATAAATGTTTGTATCTGCGTACTATTATAAAACCAGAAGCCTATCTTACTTATCCCCCTTAAGGATCAAAGTATCTACAAGGCTGTTTTTTTAATATTTAATTTTTTACTTATTGTAAGGAACTGGACATAACTATGGATTGCTTTTGGATGCTCAATTTTTTGTCATTGCTATACATAACCATGGTAAAATACACTTATGTTCAAGAAGTGGCGTTTAAATGCATCCAATAGATATAGTTAGTTAAAAGGGTTATATTACTGAAAAAAAAGGTGTGGCCATGTATAGAGATACTCTATCATCCCCCCTCATTAGCGTTGTGCCTTCATCCCCTGTAGCTGATGCATGCTCATCATGCTCATGCTCAGAAGCGTGCTGGCTGGTCTGTGTTGGAGCTGTGAAGGGAGTCTCAGCAGTACTGCCACTCCTGCCAGGCCCGTCTTCAACTGGCTACAGCAGCGTCTGTATTCAGATGCTAATTCACACTCCCAAGGGCATTTTGTAACCAGGTCAGCCTAGCTTGGAATATTTATAGAGGTCTGCTGCTAGTGAAGTTTGCCGCTTGCTCCTGGGGGAAACAAGGAGGTAGACCCTCTTTATGCTTAGTGCACCATTTCTCGACTAAGTGCGGATATGAAAAATGCAGATAGTAGAAACAGAAGCCCCATTGTTGTTTTTTGTGTTACAATCCAATTCACAGCATCAACGGATGCAATATCACTGTTTGCATCTGGCTGTAAACAGGGAAAGCTTCTCATCCACAGTTCATCAGCTATGACTCCAGTTGGCCAAAGATTTGTCTTGCAGCTGAGACATTTACAACATGGTACACTTTCTGATTGCTTTCTGATTGCTTACAGCAATAGATATGCTTTCATATTAACAATTTTAGTCTAATTTAAAAATAACAAAATATATCTGTTGGCAATATCCTACAGGGACGTTTGAGCTGAAATGAACTAAATAAACCCTCTGACATCAGCCTGCCACAGCCCATAGTTACATCAGAAAAAAAATGAGCCGAGGGGAACAGTAGTTGTTTGAGTCATACAACACACACAGATATACTACTTGTAGTCATCATTCACAATTACATAAGTATTTACTATTTAAATTAGCATAATTAATATAATGCATATTAATTAGGCCCTATTCCTCACTAGGTGATACCACGCTTTACTGACAGAGGTGCTTTAAGTAAGGTTGAGGTTAAATTACATCTCAATAGTAAAGCAGTAAAGGGCAATGAACTCCTGATAATTTCGCTCTCAGTAATAATTTGTGGATAGTCCGGCTGCTCTGGAAAAAACAAAGATTTGGTTTGATGTCCATGCATGTAATAAAAAAACACAGAGAGGGGACGTATGTGTGCTGCGACTGTACAGTTGTTTGAATTCACCTTTGTTTTAGCATAGCATGATAGTAAAAAGTTATCTTACGAAAACTAATCGCTACTGAGTTTAACTAATCACACAAGTCATAGCCTTGCTCTGAGGTGAAGTACGTACATTGTTAAATGGAATACGTGTTCATTCTTGTGCTATTGAATTTATTATATTTTAAAATGTCAACCTTGAACCGGTTGAGTCTGTGATGTTTATCGTCAATTTTGTAATCCTTTTGTTTAAACTGTTTCCCACCAGTGACCTACATCTGGCCACTGGTGGGATGATCGAGTTCATCAAGAGTAGGCTAGGTCAATTTTTTATTTTTTTTATTTTGTCATAAATAGTAGGCCTTGTACACAGCTGCTTAATTCCTAGTTTGTGCATTGAAGTGAAAGTATTTGATGGCATATGTTTTAGTTTAACTTGTTAATAATTGATTAAGTTGTGTTGTTGTCATTTAAACTAAGTGCAGCCTGGTTAACTTTCAAGCAAATGATTTTTTTTTATGTAGGTTTCCAGTGAGCACAACAGTATGTTGACATGGTTAAAGAACACTTTATCATGATATGTGTTAAACATTTTGAATATTATGTATACCATAGGACATTGACTCAGTCATGAATGGACATTTGTGTTTTCTAAAGCGAGACTTGAAACTTTGTGTAAGAGTTTACACCCACAGGCTTTTCTGCACGGGTGAGATTTGATCTAAGTGTATTGTGACTAGAACATTATGTCATGACAGGCAGGCTAAGTTGACATGGCCACAAATGCAGTGGCCAGCAGTTGGCATGTAACTTCTTTTTATCAGGATATGTAGGTCTACAGTTTGTGATCTGTTTTGGGATCTTGCTGGCACTTACAGGGAGCTACACGACATGTCGAACCTGTGTCATGTCAGCATTAACCCCATGTCACAGATTTGTCCAGGAACAGTCAGAGACTCCAATCCTAACCCGTTCTTTAGAATAAATGTAGTTAAAGATAGCTCAAAGTTCTCACAGCACTTCAATTGAAATGAAGTGATTAACGTTGTTACTAAGTACTCAAAGATATAAGCCCATGTTACAGTAAAATAAAATGTGATGTGAACACTTTTGATATAATAATCTTACATTACTGTTCTCCAAAGGGTTAAAATAAGGAGATGCAACACTGGTGAGGGCAATTTAGCCAAAATATGGGGAATCATGTATGATATATTGACGAGAAAAATTAAATTTGTGTACATTTTATGGACTAACATGGTTGAACAAAGTATGTATTTACGCAAGCTTAAATACAAGCAATATTGTCTTGATATTATCTTAGAATTGGCTATTTGAATCCCATTTATTTAATACTAACTTCCACAGAACTGACTTGGGGTTTAAGGCTGTAATTGTTAACCAAAATGCAGACAACCACGTGCTATACTTTGATGATTTGTTCAAACTCCTGAGGTCTCTCTAGCATCCACACTTGAACCTTCAGTCTAAGGATAGAGATTTTGATTCGCTGTCACGGGCTGTGCTCTTCTTCATTATCTTGATTTGCTCTGTTTTTCCTGATCTCTGTGGAAATATCTTCATGCGCTTTACACACTCACAGCGTTTGGCTGTTATCATGACCTACTTTGCCGCTGTGAACAGTGTTAAAAAATAGTCAAAGCCAGGATCTTGTTGAAGTCAGTAAACACTGTTTTGGGGTATAGAGAGCCTTCTTCTATATACATAGAGCCACAATCGTGTCTTTAATGCATGTTAATGTGTGCCTCTCTATATATCCACATAGCAACATGTTCCGTTGTGGTGGGGAATGAGCCAGTCCTAGTTATACGATATATCTACTGCTACTATCATGTGCAGGCTTTTCTGCTCCAGTGAGCTCTGATCTGCATGACGTGTGACCGTGTGTGTTGACAGTGAAATACAGGGTTTATAGTGGCTCTTGATACCTCGATACTTTGCCCACAACACACACACATTTTCCCATCTGTCATTAACAGTTTGCTCCACAGGTTTATCACACTTTGGACTATGTTTTTGGTCTTAATTTATCTAGCTGCAGACTTACTCGTAGTTGATATGGCACTAGCTTGTGTAGCTGTGCTGAAAAGAGTTTTGCTGAGCGCTGTCCATGGTACCTGCCTTCAGCGTATCTCTTCCGAGTGCTCTGTCTCTGCGTGTTTGTTTACAGCTTTTGCTGTGACATCATCGAGTGACATTTTTGTCATCATTGTTTGAGAGAAAGAAGACTTTTTCATTTTTCATTTATCATGAATTGTATGAATCCTTGATTTTTTTATGAAGACTATGATGCATGTTGAGTTTTTTAAATGAATGTTGGTTTTGTGAGGACTGTCATCATGAACATATTTGCACTACTTTTAAAAACTTGCGGTGCATGCAGCACTTTTGTTATAATACTCTCTGTTATGTTCCTGAAATGCACAAAAAGGGATACTGACACATTATTGGTTATCAGTAAATGATAGATTATACTTAATTTATTTTGTTAGTGTATAAGTTTAGAGACAAAACAATGTTGAAGAGATACTTGCAAAAAAGAAGTCTAATTTGAGAATACCTTATGCTCTGTAAGTGATGCCGTAAATGCACGTCAACAACATACAAAGTTGTGTCGTTTTGATTAGAGGGGCAATTTGATCTTTTTCTTGTGAACAGCTGTTTTCTGTTTGTTGCACATTAGATCATGATTATGTTGCCATTCATCACCCATGGATCAATAGCATAGTAATTACACCTCTGCAGTCTGGCTTATTTAAAGGGCTTGCCCTCTTGCAGTTCGTCTTTAAAATGGCAATATGATACCCACTGCTTATGCTTGTCTAATGTGCCATGCCTCCATAGCTATGAGTGTGAACTCAGGTAATGTAATCCATCAAAGACCTAATTTTTCAACTCATGCTGCATTGATTTAGAATATACTATGTGCACAGAATGCTGTTCACATTTCAACCTTCAGCTGGGAGCCTCACGTTATATAACAGCTTTTTATACGGCTTTAACTTTATATGATAGCCCCTCCCCCTGAGGCACATGTTGACTCTGTCTACGTTTCTGCATAAATTGTTCAGCATTACAGAATTGTGTCATCAGGCAGTTGTGGTAGAAAAGTGTCTTTAATAAGCATGTGTATTTTCCAGTGAGCTTTTTTCTAACTGTCCACCTTCCTGTCATTTTCTCCTTTCAGACAGCAGTGCTTTGGATACACAGGTTTAATATCATTGATTATCATTAGACATGTGGCCATTTGTGAATCCTTTGCATGTGTTTGTTTTGTAACCATATCTTGTGTTGTGGCATTTTCTCTTTTAAGAAACTGATTTGTTTTTCAAACTGGACATTTTGGTTAGTGAGGAGGGAGCGTTACACAATAAGCAAATCTGGCCTGAAGCTCCGAGAGCGGCAAACTGAGTCTTGAGCTCACCAATTACATTGATGTGGAATAATTTGGTCTTTTGCCTGTGGTGCTTCCCTCCCTTCTCCTCCTCTCTTATCATTTATCATATCCTCAATTGACCTCCAGATGTACTGTTTTAATAAGTTGATTTGTTAATACTGTATGTTTTTGTTTTCTTTTATTTTGACTGCTTTTTGCCTTGCTTTTAGTTGTGTGCAATTACCCTCTTTGTCTTGTTTTACATTGTGTGTTTCTTCTCTTGGCAGCCTCGCAGTATTTTGGATCCCAAACTGCTCGGCTTGCAGTCTGGAGGGTGAGTGGTGGCTCACTTTCTGATCTGATCAGTTGACAATTACATAAATCAGAGCTGCTCTACTGTTTTGTACTCCCATGCCCAGACACATGAAGCAGGAATGTAGCAGACATGCTGATTCTTTGGCATGCAGCACTAATTAAAGTACCATAATCTCTCTTTTGTGACAAGTTGTAGAATCTAAAAGTGCCTGATGGAAGGAACTTAACCTCTAGTCTTCACATGCCTGATTAATAACTTTATTCAGAAATGTGTAGGAACAACAATGATAAAATGTCCATATAAGAGATATACTGTATATTCAGCCAACTGTTGCCATGTGACATCGTAAGTGTAAAAAAAAGAAGATAATATTAAGCCTCCATCACTCATGCACAGGCCGCGACTGTGCAGCCATCTGCTGCATGCGCTGCACATAAATGCAGCCAGAACTAGGGGCCACGAGGGTAAGGCAAGGGCCAGCACAGCTCGTCACGTTGTGTGTCTTTAGGGTCATACCACTGATGTCGCTGAGAGGGCTGACAGAAAAGCTTGAGGACCTTTATCTGTGTGGAAGCACTGGAGCCTTGATGTCATGTTGAGGTCATTAGAGAGGCTGAGTGACAGCTGAGGTGATGTCACTGAGAGCCTCTTGGGAAAGGAGTAAGACTGGTGGGAGTGCAGTGAGGGGGCTGTAGAGTGTTGCACAGGGGACTTGTAGGATAGAGAGAGCAAGAAAAAGTGGATCTGAAGTGTTGTACTGAGACTGAGAGAAACTCATCTAAGAGAGTTTAGAGACATGGAGTCAGCTGTTTTCATGGTTTTTGCTGCAGTGGGCATTCACCGCTCAATTAATCTCATGTTCGGTATTCAAAGTATGTTATATGTGTTCAGTGATAGCTATAATATTTATCAATAAAAGGCTTTACTGCACCAACACTCTATTAAAGTGTAGACAACATGGAAGAGGGGGAGTCAATGGGCCCAGCGGGGGCTGAGAGGGATTACATGGAGCTTCAGCGCAGGTGGTCAGCACCATGTGAAGAAAAGAGGGAGGGGTGAGACAGGTTAGGCAGGAGGCATGATCCATTATGTTTTCCAGCTATATAAATCAAGGACCTCCTCTTTGACAATAGTAATGTTTCCCCCAGCATGGCATTATTATGATATTAATACACCTTAAATCTGTCTGCTTCTCCAGGGCTGGCAGTATTCTTTATGGTATTGACAGTATGCCAGATTTACGCCGCAAGAGGACAGTGCCTCTTGTCCGGGACCTGGTGAGTCATCTGCCTCAACAAGGTTATGTTTGATTTATGTCAGATGTGTTAGACTGACCCCACATTATAACACACTGGTGGATTCCTGCTCCGTTTTGGAATGACGCTCTGAAAAACAATTATAACTTTATTGGAAATATTGTAAAATATGTGTTTTTCTGATCATTTTATACAATCCTTAGACTGACAATAGCCTCAATGTTCTTTTAGTGGATGTCTCTGAAACATTAATGTTTACTAAGACATAACTTACAGTGGATTTATGATCTCAATTACAGGTTGGTACCAGCACAGTATATCTCCTCACACATGTAGACCAGCAGTGTGGTTTCATAGATAAAACTGCATGAAGAATGCATGAAAAATTTGCATACAACTTTTGTCATGATAAAAACAAGCCAGTAAGGAGTTGATTGATGATGAAAGGGACCACTTGAAATTCTTTTACGGTAGAACATTACCATTCGGGGTAGCTAAATGTAGCCTTAGCCATTACTCTATGGCTTGATTAATTAGCCTAGAGGGGGCATTTAAGACATTGCATCACAGTGATGCTCCACCGTTTGTTTTTTATTGCAACATTATGTTTAGTAACATATCCCACAGAGAGGCCCGTTGCACTAGAGTCCACTTTAGCACATATGATCAGTCTCTGTGAAAGACAACAGGCTGTGGTGATGCCAGTCGTATTCATGTCTGTTTATAACTGTTTGTCCAATATGTGCTGCACAGTCTTTGTCTGTCTTGTTTATGTATGTCTCATCCTCATGTACTTTTAGTCAAAAATATTTAAAAAATCAAAGCTCTTGCATTAAGTAACTTAAAAGCAACCTGTTAAATACATAAATATTTTACTCTTTAAAGATTTATATAACTTTTTTTAAATAAAATGATAACGTAGCTTGATTTAATGCACATAGATGGTGATGAATGTTTATATCACAGTGAACAACATGAGTTGATGCTGTATTTGTCCATATCTCTCATGAAATTAATAACCAACAATGTCTTGGTAAGTATGGGTTGTCGTTTTTTATTTGTAATTTTATTTTTTTGAATTTTGGGTGTATATTTGCCATTCCTACATATAGGACCCATAACAGCTATGGGTGATATTTTTCAGTGAGTTGTCAGATTTCAGCCTCGCCGGTGCTTGGCCATTTTGTCTTCCTTTTTTTTGTTGCTCGGCAGGTGTCACAAAAATTTGTATTTAAACCGAAATTTTGACAACTCAACCCAAAAATATATATGAGAGACTTCATTGACTTCTGATTTAATAGTTTGAGGCTTTTAAATCATGTAAAAGTGACAGTGAACAAGTCTTTTACACGTGGGATGAAGTCAGTAGTCAGCAAAAATAATTGGTACCCTCTCATGCCTCTCCTTTGTCAATGTCCCCCATTTGCTGTGTGATTGCTTCAGGGCAGCAACAGCGCTTTATTGAAAAGGACAGCAGGGTTCCCCCCATAGTATGGTGGGATGCAAAAACAAACTACAAAATACGAAAGTTGAAAATGGCTCAACAAAGCATTGAATGCTATATTGTAGCTGATTAGACGTTATCAGGACACAGGGTTGTATTGTATTGCCTGTAGCAACCTCAGCAGTGCTGGTGCATGTTGATACACTTACATCAACACTCACAGTTCATGTAGAGGTCTCGTTCCCTCCTACATCTTCCATGGCTTCCATGGATCTTTACCATAGCTGGGCTGTACAGACAAAAGGGTGGTGGTAAAGACTGATCCAATATTGTCAGCTGTCCATGTCTGCATTCCTTTGTTATGTAATCTCCTCCCGTCTGGGATAAGTGTTTATCAATCTCTGGTCACCCAAACTCTATGGATATTAATGTAACAGCTATTAAACATAACTGTGTGTGTCCGTGCGTATATATGTTATCTGTATGTGTTTGTAAGAGTGCTTTATGTGGGTGTGTTCTGTTTAATGTTTCAGTATGTTTGTAAATGTCTGAGCAGCTATGTGTGTGTTTTCAGAGTGTGTGTGTGTTTTCAATGTGTGTGTGTGTGTGTGTGTGTGTGTGTGTGTGTGTGTGTGTATTCCTTGTTTCTGAGGGAGAGTTGGTGTTGTGCAGTACAGCTGGCTTCACCCTTACGTGAGTGAGTGTGTGTGTGTGTGTGTGTGTGTGTGTGTGTGTGTGTGTGTGTGTGTATGTGCGTCTTGTGTTTCTGTTCGTGTTAAACTAATGTGCAGAGCAGACAGCAGAAAATATGATCAAAGCTTCATCCAACAGAGAACTGAATATAAATGCCAAGCATGACTGCAGTTTAGCAACTTCTAATGCATGAGTGGATAAAGAATCATGCAACGGCTGTATAATCTCTCCTGATGAATAGTCGAATCTTTCTAGAGCTTTATGCCTAAACCAGCAGTCCTGCATGGCAGTTGAGACACCTATGCGCTCAGTATGGATAATAAACACAATTCCTCTGCTGTTTGTGCTTTCAGCATTCTCCCTCCCACTCTCTCTCTAATTCAATCACTTTATTTCTTTCATCCTCTATTCATGACCTCCTTGGAATAACAGGCTTTGGTAAGCTTACTCTCTGTCTATGCTTGTGCACGAGTTAAGAGCAACAAATGAGCCCTTTGTCTTTAGACACATCCATCACACAGACTAAGCAGTTGTGTTTTTGTTTTGATCTTTCTTTATTTCTGTTTAGCTAATGTCTCTTTGCAAGTGGAGTAATACAGGTTATTCATGTCTATGCTGGGCTTGTTCCTTTCCACAATCTGTTTAACGCTACATACAGTAGATGTGAATTTTACGTGCCACTCTTTGTAAATCCATTTAGACGCTGACTAAAAACTGCAGCTAGATAAAATGGGTCGGTGGATTCATCTCTTTACATCATCTTTTTTTTTACTTTCCTCTTCTTCTCTCAGACCCTCACTGCTCGAAAGGCAGGCCTCTCGTTCGCTCTGGTGAACCGGTCCACCCTGAATAATGAGGACCTGGTGAGTACTAACATGTCTGCAAAGCCTGCATTGAAAATCATTGCCTGTTTATTGTGAAGTCGTAGTGTATAATGAGTTGTGGGACATGAGATGCTGTGTCCATGTTCTCATTATTTTCTAGGGCGGTGTTTGGAGAGCAGGGGGCTTAGACTGACTTATAAAGCTATGCTCTATGCTGCAACCGTTGTACTTCAGGGCCCAGGATCATTTGACCAGAAACATTGGGTTCCAGAAATTAAAATGACACAAATTGCGTAAGAAACTGGCCCCTTAGATGTACATCAGCTGTCTGTCTGCCTCTGTCTGTCTGTAATACATATTGAAATGGTCAATGTAGCCAGATATACTCACTCTCTCTGCTGTGCTCCTTCTGTTAAATAATTTGGAAAGGTTCAGAAAATAAACATACAAGAAAAGCCCCACCATTTCATTCTGACAATGTCCTACAATGAATAATAGGATCTTTGCATCAAGGAAGACTGAGCTTTAGAGAAAGGGCAGGAAGTCTGAGTTGATGGTGTGAGACACTTTTCTGTTGACCTCCAAAGCTCTCTCTGCATTAATTGATTGCAATTCTTTCCTCCCAGAGGGAAGGCAGTGTTACATGAGGCACACAGCTCAAGAAGGCCAGTTCTCAGCAAGACAAACACGCAGACAATATCATATCCACTGATGTGCAAAGGAGCTACCACAGCCTTAGAAATGACTGGATTTGAATTTGCACTTTATGCACACATATTTCATTCAAACAAAAGACGTGCCATGTTTGCATTAATTATCTTTTTTCACACACTTGTCTTGGTCCTTATGGTGCACATGCCCAGTTGCCCTTAAGTGACATGGTCTTGATTGCTGATTTGTTGCCATGGGGTTGATTAAAAGGGCTTTAGGGATAAACAACTCGTGTCCTTGATGAAGCAATGACGTGATAGATGCAGTGTGATAATCGTTTGTTAGAGGGAGTGGATTCTTGGGGAAATTTGGGGATTGCACGAAAGTGGAAAGGAAGGCGTTGAACTTTAGGAATAATTATCCAGTACTGTGAGATGAAGGAACATGGAAGACTTGAATAATTGGTTGTATAGAGGAGCTGAGATCCAAGCAAAGCTGCAGATTGTGCGGTCTTTCTAAGTAGGACGAGCAGATGTCAAGAGTTTTATCTGCTGCATTAAGTTCAGGAGAGTGCCTTACTGTGAGGACTGCAAGAATACTTTGTAAACGACCATATGCTGTGTAAGAGTGTAGAGTAGTTAAGTGAAAAGAAGAGGAAGAAAGGCCCGATCTCAAGAAGATCAAAGCTTAGCCCGACTTCCCAACATGAGCCCCGATGTCACTTACCTAGCAGAATGTTGAACAACCAGCCCGCTGCTCCCTGAAGAGATGTTTAAACCTATAAAGAGTGTTTATTCCATCCTTCTTGTTTTTGTCTCACCTCTGCTGCCACTCCTTCCTTTTTTCTCCGACACATAAATCTACTACCTCTTTGATGTGACTGAAGCATCTCACTTGCTGACGTATATATAATTCTCTTGATATTCTCTTTCTGCGTCATGTTTTCCATGCATCTGCTTTTTAGAGCAGAAAGGAACATTATGTGTGGGCCGGCTAACAACACGTGTGTCACCTCAATGTTCTGAGCTGCATGTGATTTAAGCACCCGAGCCTTTTAACAGTGACTGTCAACCTAAACCATGGGCACTGCTTTACCTGCTGTGAGCTGAAGAAAAAAGGGACCACAGGAGTAGGGAGTCACGATCTGACATAGGTCATGGAGTACCTGAAAATACGATGTGTCGGCTGGTTTAGGTCAGCTCCTGTACCATCAAGCAGGTTTTTTTGCAGCAAAGCGCACTAAAATGATTTCAACCAATACATTTTGGATATTTTTGTTATTCTCTGCAAATTTTGGTTGAAATGCGAGCAATTGTCTCGCTTTAAACTAAGGTCATGATGTTAGTAAAAATGCATTCCTTGTTAGCACTGAGATGGTTCAGTAGTTAAAGCTAAAGGTTAGAGGTGTAGAAGTCTGGAGCAGGATGATAGGGATTGCAGTGTCAGTCAGGTAGTTGACAAGGACAATAGGTGGAGAAATTGGAAGGGAGTGGAGAAAGCAGGAGGGAAGATTAGATTCTTCTCCATCATGTTGCTCTCAGATGGGGGGCTGCAGCTGTCAATCAATGCTAGCGAGTGTCTTGCACAAATTACCAGGGTTACCTCCCAGTCTAACACATGAGCCTCACACTTCTAGCTCCCTTCCCACATCTGCTGCACAGTGTGACATGCAGTGTCAGGACTGAGAGTTAGGAGAGACAAGGAGGGACGACAGCGTCGATGAAAATGTACGATGAAGAGTAAAATATTACAAATTATACATTCAGAGAAACACTTGTCAGAAATAAATCTTGAAACAAATAAGGTGTTCAGCACCATTTAAAGCATTAAGTTAGCTGAGGCCCAAGACATAGAGGTTAATCATCCAAAACTAAGAGACTGAGAGTACTCAGATTTTTTCATGCTGATAGAAGTTTTGGCTCACTCATCCACTTCAGACAGTTTTGGTTTGCTGTGGCAGTCTCAGGCCTCAGGTCTCATGCCATGCACACAGTGGCACACATGCAAGTTAACAGTGTCAATGAGAGGTGCCCATCAGCAGAGGCAACAAAGCATTGACCTACTGGGGGGATAAACAAAGACTGTTTCCTGGCACTTGCCCAAAAATACCACCACCAGTTTTTGTTTCTCCCCCCCCCCCCCCCACATCTTTCTCTCTCTTGCCCCCCCCCCCCCCCCAGGACTGTGAGAGTGCAGTAGTTAAATATATTAGTAGTATGTAGTCCCCAGTATTCTTGGTTAGAAACTCAAATGATAAAATCTCATTGTGTCAGCGTCTGATTAAAACAATAGACCTGCCATGAGACCTATCAAAATACATCAAAACTAAATAAAAGCTCTTTGTAACCGCAAATGACGTTCACTAGGGTAGTGAGAAAGAGAGAGGCAGACAGGTCAGAGCATGCAAGCAGTAGCCTGATGAAATAGTCAACACTTGTTCTTAAATGTTCAGTAATTCATAATTCATTCAGGAGTTTGGGAGAATGCAGCTGAAGAGAGTGAAGCAGGTTTGAATCGACATGAGAATGAGAGATGGTCATGTAACCAGGTGAAGTATTGAAGATTCTTTTAGTTAACAGTTACAGTCCGACCTTAAAAAAAAAAAAAATCAGAATTGGCCTTAGAAATTGTAATCGGTGCATCTCTAGTTTTGGATGCTTCAGTATTACATTTGGAGAGGAACAGGCATTGCTCTAGTTTCTGTGTAAGTTGTAGATAAATCTCTGACATCTGCTTCATCTCATTGCTCTTAGATTAAACGGGAAATCTCCCTGTCTCCCTCTGTGTTTCATTAAAGGTCCTCCAGGGTTCAGCAGCCTCTGTGTTGCATCAGCAAGAGTATCACAATGTTATGGTCCTGTCATCTGGTGTCATTTAATCATCTCTGCTGGTGTATGTGTGTGCCTCAGAGGATGTGTCTGTCTGTTACACTGAGCAGTACAGCAGTCTTTGTGGGAAATTGCAGGGCTACTGTTCAGGTGTTAAAGCACATTGTCAACACGCAGGGGGCTGAGAGCAGAAGGAGGGGAGGAGGAGAATGGGTGAGGAGGGGAGCGCAGTGGAAGTGGAGAGCAAGTACCTCTTGAAGATTTATTTAACCACAATACATCTCTTTCTCTTTCTCTGTCACTTTCTCTCTCGCTGGCTCGCTCTCTCTCAATCTGGATAATGCTCACTTTTAAAAACCTTATTTACAGCGTCCATTGATTCTGCCTTCAAGAATTGGCAAGTCACGGCCCGTTTTCCGGTCCTTGTGGATGGCAGGGCCGCTGCAGTAAAGCATTCAATTTGAAGAGGCTTCTGTTACACAGCAATCAGTCTAGACAGGCCTGAAGCAGACTTTAGTATTTGGTCTGGAGGAGCTATATTCAGTAAACCACTCAATTTGAACAAAGCATGTAGGCTAGAGGTGCTGTTAATCTAAAGGAGATAAGATATAAAGGTGATTTACATTAATGTGGCTGACCTCTCTATCGATGACTAGGTAAACAAAAAAAAGGATCAATAAACCTCCAACAAGTTCACATAAATAGTATTAGTCATATAAATGGTTGAACCCCCAAAGCTAAAGAATGCTGCTGGACTGATGAATGTTAGCTGCAGTTAAACAAACTTATATAATTGCTGTAATGCAGTAATGCAAGTGTGCTGTATATTTCATCTGACGCAGACTGCAGATCAATTATATTAGGCCCTCTGAAGCCATTTCTGTTCAACTTTTAAACTTTGACTAAAACTTTATGTTATGGTATCGGGCTATTGTGGTCCCTCAGCAGGTGCTGAGTTTTTTTATTAACTTTTGAAGTTGTTATTAAATCTTGTTTTCATGACCACATAGCACCACAAGAGTTTAACAACATCATCTGCGCTTCTGTTGTTCACAGACTCTTATTTTTTTTCAAGTACTTTCTTCAAACAGTATTATTTCCTTCACTTTCTAAAAGCCTCCTCTGTCTTCTCAGAAACTGCACGTCTTCAAGAAGACTCTGCAGGCCTTGATCTACCCGATTTCATCCACAACACCCCATAACTTTGAGGTGTGGACGGCGACTGCTCCCACTTACTGCCATGAGTGCGAGGGGCTGCTGTGGGGCATCGCCCGTCAGGGCATGCGCTGCTCCGAGTGCGGTGTCAAATGCCACGAGAAGTGCCAGGACCTGCTCAATGCAGATTGTTTACAAAGTAAGAAAGCATTTTGATATGTGTTTAATGTTCATTTGCCTATGCTGAAAGTCTGAGGATATATGTTCACAAAAGTGTCAGTTAATGTGTCAGTCTTTTGTTTAAAATACATTCTGAAGAAATACATTTAAAAAAATTGTTAAGTCTGCAAATGTGGTTTGCCATAGAAAGTGTGAACAATGATAGCGCTGAGCCCTGAGATATTCATGAATACTGTTAACAGGATTTGTTTTAGAGATGTAACATATCCCCTTTCACTCATTCCTATATGAGACATGTTGCCTTCATACTGCTTGCTCAGTCAAATGCTCATTACAGTCTGCTATCACTTCTTTCAATCAGCCACTTTGGCGTTTCATACAGTAGACTGATTCAGTAGGAACAATGTGATCTGCAGGCTACAGGATGATCCTCAAGGCAATCCTTACACAGTCTAAGTGGATTATCTACACCACAGCTATTGTAAAGCTCAGTGTTTTATAACCCTTTTATACGAGCATAACAATTTTTTATAGTTCAAACTGTGATTCATCTTTATCAAGCCTCAATCTGAACTCATGAACAAACTCTAGATATGTGATCCTTAGATCAGATACAGCTAATCAACCGTCTCGTAGCCTCTTTTGTCTCATAGACACACATTCTCATAAGTAACGGACACATTTAGTACATGAGTTTGTGAATCCTCATTTACCACATGCTCATACACATGCTCATACTGACAGTCATAGTGGGTTGATAGGTTGATGGATATTGTTATACAGTGTTTATTTTTATAATGACTGAGAGAAAAGACAGTACATTTACTGCAGTTATTTGTCAAAGTAATTCTGATTCCTTTTTTTAAATGAACTTTTTTCAGTCTAAAAAATGTTGTCTTGTTTCAGGGGCAGTAGAGAAGAGCTCCAAGCATGGGGCAGAGGACAAGACTCAAAATATCATCATGGCTATGAAAGAGCGCATGAAGATAAGGGAGAAAAACTGTCCTGAAGTGTTTGAGGTGATCCAGGAGATGTTCCAAGTCTCCAAAGAAGAATTCAACACCCATCTGAAGACAGCCAAGCAGGCTGTGCTGGATGGGACCTCCAAGTGGTCTGCCAAAATCAGCATCACAGGTGAGCCTGGTTCTTCACACGATATTGGATATTTAAAAAGACAAGTGTAGAAGGCTAAAGGATGAGAAGGATGCCAAAACATTTACTGAAATTTAAACTATGAATCATTTTGTACACAAATGTTGGATGTTATAAGCTTTCATATGCACAAGAATCATTCATCAACTGAATATTGATCAATGCTTTTTAACTGACACCTGATACAGCTGCACGTAACCACTGACCTTTGGACCATGACCTATAACCCCATTACTGAGTCCTCCACCACCAAATCATCAAAGCTGCCATTACAAGTCATGCTCATCTCATAGCACAAACATTGTTATTCAAATTAGTATTCACTTCTAATTAACCTCCAGACCTTTGTCATTACCCTCTGACACTGAATTTAAACAGTAATGCACATTTAATTAGAAAAAGGAATATCAATTAATTTGGTCATTTGGTTAGATTGTTGACAGAACTGGTTAATATTGAATCATTTTATTGTGGAAAATAATGGTGCGACATTGTTCCTCATCCTATTGACTTTGAAATCAGGACACAGTACTGAGACAGTCCTCTGCTATCTTGACCTTAGCTTTCCGACAATGCCATGTATTAAAAGTCACTCAGTCCTGCTTATGATCTGTAGCTCTAATGAAAAAAGTGGACAAGTTAAGCTGTTGGAGAAGTTATTAGGTTGCAACTCAGTAATAAAACATCTGTGGAGGGGAGTAATAAAAAGGTGATGATGACTAGTTGAGAATAATTGCTGCAGGTGACAGATATCGTTGTCTTTTTGGAGCACACTGGTGTTCTACTACGTACAATGTACTGTGGAAATGAATCTCCAACAGTTGAAAGCGCTCTCTGAGACGCCAATCAAAATGTCATGCCCCTGAGTGCATTTTTGACAGTACAGCACTTCACAGCACATTGAGGATGAATGTTACCCTTGCACAATGCATATTTTTTGCTCTTTTTGGGGGCACTTTGGGCCACTCTCTGACTTTTAAAATGGTTGTGTGTAATCTAAAACTCCCGTCTTTAAAGGAAAAATGAATCAGGCTATGTATACTTTTGCTTAACCAAACTATGCTGTCTTCAGATATCATCCCTTATAGACAAGAGAAAATAACTGAACCAACACATTTCTATTAAAATCATTTTCTTGTGCTATTTTCAACACATTCTGGATCACACGACATCTGTTGTGTTTACCTATTTCTGAAATCTCTAAATCTAGAAATTGGGCCATAATAAGGCTCTTATTCATTGTCACATTCATGGAACATTCCACAACATACTCACTTGGTTTTATTATATTTTTTTAGTTGACTGGTAGAAGGAAGGTCAGAAAGTGAGCTATGTAACCTCTGCTTTAGTCTCTAATCCATCTCTGTTGCAACTGTGCCAGACCCAGCTCATTTATTGCTCACCTTGCATTTCTCACACTGTCAATACACCAGGGTGAAATAGAAACAGAGAGTGAGGGAGGCAAACAGAGAGGGAGAGTTAAAGTATTGGAATAACAAGCAATAGGACTGTAGGAGAGGGAGAGGAGAAGGAAGAATAAAATGTGTAAAAAGAAAAAAAAAGAAAGAAAAAAGAATGAGAGAGAGTGATGCAGAAAGACCCAGAGATGTCTCTGTCGATTTCCCAAGGGCTTATTGAACGTCCTATTTAAAAACGTACTTATTGAGATGTTATTTATTCACCACTTTTTAGACAAACGCTGGCTGGTATCGACATTTAGCACTCCGACGTGACCATGAGATATTCTGATTCTGGCTAATGTTCACACAGCAAGGTCTGGCTGTGAGCCTGAACCTTGATCTGACATACTACAAACAGCTCATTTGAAAATCTTTGTCAAACATCAATTTGGGTATTGTACCTCCAAACACGCTGATTTCATTATCATCACAAAACCATGTATTGAGAAAAGTTTATAAAATTACTGTTAATGGTATAATCCATAACCACCTTGCCTTGACTCCTCCCCCCAGAGGTCAGTGTATTGAATGGTAAAACACGTAGTCTCCTTTGTCAGTGTCCGTTCTTTATTGCACAGCCACACTTCAATGGTTTATGTTTCTGAATATGCCCCTTTGTAAGTCAATTATAATATTGTGTACGTTTATTTTGTTATCCTTACATTCACCGCTCAGTTCCTCTTCAGATATGTGATGAAGTAGCGATGCTATGCTAGTTAGCTAGCTCAAACACAGAGTTTTGGCATGACGTTCTTTTGTAACCAGCACTCATCATTTATTACGTAAGCACACCATTCAGCTTGTTCACTGACAGTTTAGTTACCGGTAATGTTCCACACAATGGGAAACCATTTTCATGCTTCAAGAAAATTGCATGAATGGTGCTTAAACCATATTAGATTATAACTTCTGATTGGCCCGCCTTGAATTAAGTCTGATGGAAGTCAGTCTGAAGGAAGGGGGGCTACAGTAGATGCTTCTGCATCAGCAAATAAAACATGAGCTTGGAGATTTGTCTGGTCCCAAGGCCAGTATTTAGTGATTCGTGAACGGCAAGACATGCCAATCTAGCAATTTGGTAATTCATAATCAAGTGAATTTTTCAGGTAAGGGGAGTCTTAAAACATAGGCAAGCTAAAAGTCAGGGCACACGGCTAGTTGTCATAGAAAGGGGATACGGCAGATAATTGTTTGCACACTGGTTCATGTGTTTTGACAGTCTTCCTCTAATGGACTTAAAGAGCCTGTTAATTGACAGAAGAAGTGGTCAGCAGTGGACCCCTTCTTTCCCTTTATTCTGACAATAAAAGATTTGGGGACAGGAATACCACCCCTCTTTACTTGTATACTGCTGTTCAGGACTTTTTTTTACATAGTGACATTTGGGTTTGAGCAGTCCTGCAGCAAGCAGGCCATGGCTCTTAAAACCTTCATATCCTGCCCACCAACTCCTCTCAGCATTGAGCTGAGGGATATATATGTACCCTGAATTATTTAGACTGTCACTTATGCATATTTAATGCCCCAGTGTCCTTTTCCCTTTTATGGTGCTGTGAAATACTACTGTCTCTCTTCTGCACCTTCCTCTGTGTGAGGAAGTGAGGTTCTGAATCAAGGATCGCTCTCTCTTAAGCCAACGCTTAGCTCAGCATAGACATGTTGAAGTGGGGGGCAGAAACACAGGGGTGGAAATTTCCTCTAGGAATAAATAAATCATGGATATTCTTAACACTTTGAATATAGGAAATGGATAAACCGTGGCTGCTGTCGATGACCCAAAGAGCTGGTCTCAGCCTCCGCTTAGGGCATGTTCAGAGAGTTGTTGAAGGCAGTGGAGGAAGTTACAAGGCCTTTATTCTTATGTTCAAACCAGATAACCAAACATTTCATCCAGATATCATGGTAGCAAGAGCTGAAGTATATATATAGAGGAATAATCATGACTGGGATTGAGATCTTCTGTAAAACCTTGCCGCACCAGGACGGTGCTTATCGTCACTTCATCACTTCTACAATTCAACGCCACTGGAAATGAATTAAATTATAGTTACTCTGATAAATAATACTAACCAGCCACTTTTAAAAGGCTTTCAAAGCCTTGACATGTTGAAATATGTAACTTGTAATACTTTCATGAATTTTCAATCTTCTCCAACCCTATCTTGTCTTCAGTCATGAGTGCACAAGGATTACAGGCCAAGGATAAAACTGGCTCCAGCGACCCTTACGTCACCGTCCAGGTGGGCAAGACCAAGCGCAGGACAAAGACCATCTTCGGCAACCTCAACCCCATCTGGGATGAGAAGTTTTTCTTGTGAGTGTTCTCTATTAATTTGACCTCTATCAGACCAGATAATCTCTACTGAGATTAGGAGTCATCTGTTAGAGGGAATCTCAAGGCATTAGTAAATAAGTACAAAAGAAATCTTAGTGGCTTGGGGAATACCATGATGGTATTACCATGAGTTACGACAAACCGGTATATCACACCAGCTGCACTGCAGAGACTCTGTCTGTTTGTTTCCAAGCTCTCGTCTGTGCACGTTCTGTCTAATACACGCAGAAACACACAGAAGCACACACACTCACACGTCATGCAACCGAGAGTTAGATTTATAATGAATCTTATTAATAACTATTAGTGCCACTGATAATATAGCCCACAGCTATTCATACACACTGTCCAATGTCCATTATGCACACATTAGAGAATGTAGCCATGGATTCCTGTTGAGAAAATAAGTCAATACATGTTTACAGCCTACCTTTATTTGATGTTGAGCTCACAGAATATAAGTCAACAAACTGGTCTGGAGATATTAATAATTAATGAGGATACGCTTTTGTGACTCGTGCGGAAATATTCACTATGTCTTGGTATAAGTGTCTGATGTTGAATCATTTAGCAAAATATAACTTCAGTCTGAAATATAAAATCAACATATTGCGTAGTGTCGTGTGTGTTCAGTGGCACAATGAAAGGAGAAAAGTTAAATAAGCCTGCCGGCCGAGTTAGTCTATTTAAGAATAAAGACTGAAATCTGCTGTGTTAATATCAAAGCACCAGTCTGCAGGCCCACCTGGCTCTTAAAACTGACTGAGCGATGACACTCTGATTGGTTTGATTCATGTTACACCCAAAACACACCTATGTAATCAACGGCTTGATTCAACCTCTTCACACGCACTGCGCCTGGCTCTGCACCTCAGATTTTGCTGTCAAAACTATCAAAATGTATTCATTCGCCCCAAATCACTTTGTCCCTTGCGCTTTAGACAGTGCTCTTTACGCTGTCAAAATAGGGCCCTCTGTGTTTGTGTGTGTCTCTCCTATGCCATTTACAAACAAGTCTCCACACCTGTAATGAGACTCCGGTGGTGGCTGTAATAAAACTCTTTCCCATTACTACCGGGATGTAGATTAATAGAGCGATACATTACTGTGTGCTTGGCAGAGAGTAAAATCCCAGTCTAGTGCAGCAGCAGCAGCTAGTGCTTCCCCCGCACAGGGATTAGTTAAAAAAATACTGCTGATAGTGTTTCTCTGGCTGTCGCACCCAAGATGTCATTAGAACAAAATGTAATCTGTCGGTTTTAATTCCAGAGCCGAACAGTCTGACCCCATCTGAAGCTGAGTGCTTTGGCCACCTCTGTTCTATTTAGCAGAGTCATTATTGTGAAACGTCTGTCAGCTGCACTGATGCAAAGAGGAACCAAAAAGATGGACATTAAGCTTTCACAAATAAATAATCCTCGTCAGAAATGCTGCTTCACAGCCATTCTTGGGGAACATTCAGCTCTTCCCTGATGATTTTAGCATGCATCAAAGAGGGAGGTAATAATATATATACACAGAGTAAAGGTTATACGTCTAAGGATAATTCTTCCCTTCAGACAGAGACCCCTTCTCTTCTCATACACATGCTAGGCATGCGCAGTAACTCATACACACCCATGTGTGCACTCTAATACAAACTTTCTCTCATTTGGATCAAGGCGAGAAATGTCCTCCATATGTTGCATAGAAAAGTCAGGGAGCATGTGTGTCTGAACTAGTTTTTATGCTTGAATCGTTCATTTTGTTTTCATTCTGCTCCACTGAGTAACCTGATGAGCTGTCACTGAATATGCTGTTGCTGTTGTTGTCTATGTTGTTGTGATTGTTTCTGACTTGGCATAATCATCTTCCAAATTGCAGTGAATGTCACAATGCCACTGACCGCATCAAGGTGCGTGTGTGGGACGAAGATGATGACATCAAGTCACGGGTGAAGCAGCATTTCAAGCGTGAATCAGATGATTTCCTGGGCCAGACCATCATCGAGGTTCGCACTCTAAGTGGAGAGATGGATGTTTGGTACAATCTAGGTAAGATGGGCATTAAATCTTGGGGCCTTGATACTGGATATTGATTAATTGTTTTTGTATTTAAAATGCGGACAGTACACATTCATGGAAATGTACAAAATCATGGAAATAATCCGCACGAATACAAACGTACATAGAACCTCACAAAACACAGGCAGCACAACAACAAGCAGAAACCAACAACAACATAAACAGTACATTAGTTGACAAAGACACACATATAACAATACTACAGGTGGCTATATGATTTTGCTTCTGTACAGAGAATCAACAGGTTTAAGGGCTGTTGCTCAAGTGAATGACCAACTGGTTATACATGAGTAAATAAGCAAGAATTTCATGGAATGTAGGAACATTAAGGCAGCACTGAAGATCCTAATTTCATATATTGGATGTATCAATTTACTTAAATCATGGTTGCAGATATTTGGGCACTTACCCAGATGTTTACTGGATTTGATCTAGCAAGACATATTGATCTGATGTTGGTTGTCAGAAGAAGATATAATACCTGAGTTCTAGGAAACCACAAAAAAAATAACAAATGTTTAAGGTGGTCTGTACAGATGAGCAAACTTTGAATAAAATCCGCAATATAAAACAGGGAACAACAAATCAGACAAAGCTTTTGATACCAACTTTAAGTGCTGGATAGTGGGGCTGTAACGTTTAAATCTCCGCCTCTACAATGACCATATTCAAGAAGCTGGAACAAAGGAATGCATTCTGCTTGAAAAGGATGGATCAAATTGGTAGATTGACTTACTCTTGACTACACTCTCTCTATTTGGTATGTGTTCTGTATGGTGTTTGATATGTACCAAAGTTGTAAAGTATGTAAAGATCAACACAACTGTCTCCGTAGCAGGATGCAACTGAAACCTTTGTTTCAGTTTGGGTTCTGTAGCTGTGAATGTAGGGTATTTTACTGTTGCTTTTCCTGTATAACACATTTTTTGTAGATGGGGAATGAATGTCAGCATAATGATAGCATCCACTTCTGTTGTAGTGTTATGACTGGCGGGTGCTGTCTTTGTTTGCCTCTCCAGCTAAAAGGAGGCAATTTGTGGTAATAGTGACCCCTGACCACTTCTGCTGCTCTGTGCCTTTTTAAATGTTCACAATGAATGTTTAAACAGGCCTTTGCTGGTGTGGGTGTCCACCCCTCCAGCTGCTCTCCTCTCTAAGCCTCTTCAGCGCCTCTTCAATCGGGGCCTTTTGTGTTCACATCACTGTTGCCTTTTCATATTATTATTTTTCACTTGTCTGTCTCTTGACCAACATGCTGTTTAGAAGAGCATCATTCATTTGACGCAGCGGAGATGACTTGAATACAGCAGCTTAGAGAGGCACATTAGAAATCTGTAACAAACCCCCAGCAGCTGTGGAGTCATTAGCTTTCAGGCCTGGCAGGAAAGTGACGGTCTTAATAGTAGTCTCTGTTTAGTGCATGCTCACATTCAGTCACACAAACTCAAAGTCAGTGTAAAGTGTGTGTCAATATTTGCATAAACAGAACATACTCTATTTCCCCAAGCCCACTGTAAATCTTATCAGTGATGGAACTAAAGCAAATGTTTTCTCATCATAAATAGTGGATGGTTGTGTGCAAAGATGTGATGTCATTCATGCTGTATTGAACATTATTTATTTTATTATTTTATTATTTTTATTTTATTATTAATTTTTTATATATATAGATGTTTTGCGTTAAAGTTGCTGTCATTGATTTCTCTTGTTTGTCATTTTGCCATGGTGTGTTCAAGGACACAGATGGAAACAAAAGGTTGTGTGTTGTATTATATCATACATTCTTTCACTGACTGAGGACATTCCTTCTGTTTCTTTTTTCATTATTAATTCAGTAAAATTTCAAGATAGTTAGTTTGTAATGCGTCTTTTAGCTTGTCTTGCTAGTGTAAAGTATTAGTGACTTTACTGTATCAACCAGCATAATGAAAAACTGTTTGTTTTCCAGCAGGGATTATTAAGTTAAAAAAGTGAACAAAGAATGTACTTCAATACTAAAATTACATCTAACCCATTGGAGGAAGGTTAGAAAACATGTTGTTTCCTAGGAAGAGGCTCATGATTGTTAGTTCCTTTTCAGTTATTTTTAAGTAATGACTTATTCTGGTTGGTCGTGTGTTACAGATAAAAGGACGGACAAGTCTGCGGTATCTGGTGCCATCAGGCTCAAGATCAGTGTGGAGATGAAAGGAGAGGAGAACGTTGTTCCTCCTCATGGCCAGTACACCTGTTTACATGAGGTAACCATGATAATGCAATCCTGATTTAGGCAAGATTAGCTCTTACTTTACTCCAATCATCATCTTTGGAAAGTCGACCATCAGGTTTTCAAAGACAGTTACTAAAGAAAACACATTTGCTGTGATTTTATTGGGAAGCAAGCTAACAGGGCGAAAATCAATAATTACAAGTTTTTACAAAAAGAAAGATGTTTAGCTTTCCCCCCCTGCTATGATAAGGGTCTTCATTTGCTGGTGCACATCTCAAACAGGAGCCTCTTTTTTATTACTTGTTGTGACACCGTGCTCCATCACTGAAACCGCTTCTGTCTTATCTCTCGTGCCACTCATAGAATCTTTCCACTACCTGACCGAGGTGAAGAACAGCGGTGTGGTGAAGATCCCGAAGGTGAAAGGGGACGAAGCATGGAAAGTCTATTTTGACGACGTTTCTCAAGAGATAGTGGACGAGTTCGCCATGAGATACGGAGTGGAGTCCATCTATCAGGCTATGACGTAAGTACCACCCTGATCTATGGTCTTTTACATCCCCAATCTGTCAGCGTCTCATTCAACAGAGTGGAGCAGAGAAGGAGACAAGAGAAGGAGAGTTAAAGACGAGTAGTAAAGATGTCTCCTCAGCAGAATCAGAGCTCTGAGAACTATCGAGCCCCTAGTTTGATTGATTAGTTGCTGGTCTCCTGGAAAAAAAAAACTCTTGACCTGCCTTGGTCCCATCGATCATTGACACACATAAACATCCCATTTCCTCTTCTCTGTTTCTCTCTGTACTTCTGTGACCCTGTCCATATATAAATGCCATTGTCACTGTTTTTACAATGCACAGGTACATTTAAAATTAACACAAAACATGTGCCCTAGACACACACGCACACATACAAACATACACATAAGCAAAAAAGCAGCACCTGAAAAGTTGAAATCATTAAACACAGATCTATGTCATTTAATTCTGTGTTACATTATGCAACGTTGATTTTCATGCAGCAGGCATTGATAGCCAGATTTACTCAGAATGCATCTGACTTCAGTGAAAGTCCCTTTCTAACTATTTGTAGTACATGTCATATGATATTTGTATATTAACTATATTTCACTATTGTTCAACACCAGACAAAGAATCTGAGGCACAACGCTGCATTTGATTCAGTGTATTATAATGAGTTAATGAGCATCACCACATGGGGATTTCAGATTGAGCGTTTGTTTGAAAATCTCAAATTGCATCAACAAAAGTTCACCTTTTTTAAGCTCTCCATCCGTTGCAGAATTCGCTTGTTGAGCAGTCCCAGTATCTGGCTCTGTAATTAGCTGCTGCTTTAGTAAATCAGATTCTAATTACACACAGATTGTGTGGGCAAATTGAATGAAACCCGCAGCCCACACTTTTGCTTTCATGTCCAGAAAAGTAAGCAACACTAGTTCATTGTTTTGCCATCAAAGTTTTTATATGAGTTACAAGAAATGTAGAAAAAAATGTATCGACGTGAAATAATCATGGTACAAAAGGGTTTGCTTTAATGTCTCCGGCAAAATGAGAAGAGTAATGGGTCCCTCAGAAGGACTTTGGATGACTGGTTCCTACCAACACTGGGCCTGAATTTGAGATGACTTCCACAGGGCTTTAAGCATGTATGATCCATACCATCAGTCTCTGACTGATCCAAGTGATCCTGACCTAGTCTTCATATCCCACAGAAGCTCCTTCCTTTCCTTTTTTTAGGTAGGGAAAATGTGTGATTGAATCTCTGCTGAGCCCTGCAAAGCTTGATGTAGCTGTTTCAACAATGCTTCAACATCATGTCCACATAAGGAGGAGAACTGCTACAACAAAAACACCTACATAGCACAAGTGTTGTTGATGCGCTTTGTTTTGCTGCTGCAAACAGGTGTGGAGTTGCTAGGTGATAGACTGTTTTAGCATGATGGTATATTACAGCAGATGAGCGATCGCCAGGCAGATGAGTGGAGAAGTAAGTGGCCTCATTTCAAGATTTCCCAGATGGAGTTAATACTTCAGGCATGAACCTTTCTTAAGCTTGGTGTTTCTCATATCAGTGCTCATTGTGCTTCATCAGGAATTTATGAAATGGCCCTACCTTTTCCTTTTCCTCATCATAGCACCTTGACTCCCAGTCACTCCTGACATGATGGCTGCATAAATCACAGCAGCTTTGAACACCCCCCTGCCTCACCCCAATGCCCACCACAACAGCCCTCTTAACCCCCTCCCTCGTGTTCGTTTTTCTTCATCTCACTCTTATCACCACTCCCTGCCTCCCACCCCTGTTCCCCATCATCTTTTTCGGATTGCTCCCAGCTATCTAGGATCGTAAATTGACATGTGAATCTGCACATAGTGCATCTGGTTCACCAGTGAAAACCAAGGCAGGCTAACAGAAGGAGAAGCAAAGTCTTACTCTTGAAAATTGGCTCAGGAGACCCAGCTCTAAAAGCACCATGGGAATTCAGCGGATGCCATCATCACTCTCTTTGCATTACCCTCTTTTCTCGCCTAACCCCAAGTGCTCCTTGGTAATTTGGAGGCTGAAAGCAGAGTAATTAAATAGGCCTCCCGATGAGAACATGTTTGTGTTTCTATTTGTGAGTGTGTGCACATTTGTGTGCATGTGTGCAGGGGCTGCACTCAGGAGGAGGAGTAAATCAGTAATCATTACAGTACACAACTCTGCCCTTTTTTTTTTTTTTTTTTTTTTTAGCATTTTTGCTGCATGGGCCAACAATTCACTGTGCTAGAGGCTCTTACCGGCAATTTCACATAGTTAGTGAGTGCTGCATTCCGTCAGCACCACTGTTTTATTTCTGTCCGACGACCAGCGTCATGGGTCTGTTTCTGGAGAGTCTGCGCAGCAATGAGCAGCTGTACTCATGGGTTTACAAGATCACGCGAGAATAGAGAGGAAAACATGCAAACATGCTTTTTTGCTTATGCGAGGTTGATTTTTTCTGTTTATAGCTTGCCTGTTTCGACGTAATTTTGATAAAATTATGGAATCCATCTGTATATCATGTGTTTGACTGGATCCTCTGTGCGTCAAATTAAGTATTAAGCAAATGCTGTGTTTATAAAGCGCAGCCTTCTTATTCTTTAAGCTTTCATTCAGGCATCTTTACGCTGAAAAGCATCCAATGCCTCCAGATGTTTGGTAGCTTTTGGTCACACCGGAGGCTGAGAGAGAGAAGCCTCTGTGTACATAATTGTTTACTGCTTTAGACATACAGGTTATTGTAAATATATTATTGTAACAATTTACAAGTTTCTTTATGTGCAGTGTGAATGCGAATGGATGAGGTAGTGAGTCTTGATGTTCATCGAAGGTACCACTGTCTTAAGCTGTAGGAGGCATTCCACATGGCCTGTGAAGCAGCATTATGAGGTGCTAAAAAGAGCATATGTTCCCCAGTCAGGCACAGATCTCCTGCTCAAACCAGGCTTTCCAAGCTTCAGCACATAATTACTGATGGGTAGCACTGTTGCAGAGGTTGGCTGTGTGTGTAGGGAAAGAGAGGGAGCAAGATCTTTGCAAATCCTAAGTGCAAAGACCTGAGCCGCTTTCATTATGGTTACGGTTTTAAAGTTAAAAGCCACTGAGACAGTAGAGAAGGTTTGAAGCTTTATTTAAACAGGAGACATCAAGGTTGCAAAAGTGGAAGTCCCTCCCTTTGTTCCTAACTGGTAAAGATGCCTCGTGTGTATATGGTGCACATCATGTAATTGAGATCCCGTTGATGCTGGGTCGACACGTGTATTAACCTCAGAGGAGAGCACTCACCTTGACGAGAGCCTGTGCTTGTGTTTTTCTCTGTGCTACTTGTTGCAGAAAAAATGTACAAGTTTAAGTTCACAACTAAATAAACACTTCTCTTTTCTGTTCCCATGGCTGTGATAATTTGATCTCATTAAGGGATCCCACAGGATTTACTGTAGAATGTGGTTGCTTCGTCTATTACTTCTTCTCGTGCCACCTTATGTCAGTAACAGAATAGGTTATACAGCTGTGATTAATGACATCATTTGTAACGGATAGTCCATGAAGGCACTTTTCTTACTACATGAACGGGGCTGTTAACTGCTTAGACATTAACTTTTCCACCAGAAGTAATTGTTAGGAACATTAAAATGATGTTCTCTCTCAGAAGCCAGAAGGTGAAATAATGAAGGAATACTACTGTACTACAGGGCGTTCGCTTATGTTTTATTATTATTATATTTTTTTACTGCGGTTAATGCAGTGCAAAGCAAAGGGTACATCAGGATATGGACATATCATGCACTTTATAATTTAGTTTATATTGAAAACTATTGGAATTTTACTGCTCTATATTTTTCATGTGATTGTGTATTTGTCCTAGGTAGATAAAAAAAACTCTTATTTTGTCCCAAATGGCGCTCTCTTTTAAGCTGCATAGAGTGATAGTGTTTTTTTCCCCTCCTCTGCAGGCACTTTTCCTGTCTGTCTGCCAAATACATGTGTCCTGGTGTGCCAGCAGTGATGAGCAACCTGCTTGCTAATATCAACGCTTACTTCGCCCACACCACCACCACCACCACAACCACTGCCTCCGCATCTGACCGATTTGCTGCCTCTAACTTTGGGGTAAGTGCACCTATAACTGTCTTATGGTCTGACATCCACAGATATTACAGCTGTAATATAGTGCTTAGTGAAAATTAGGGTTTTTCAGTCTCCAGTCAAGCTAACATAGCATCGAATGCTGCCTTCAAGTTTTATATTGAGCCTTGACTGTACTACTTTGTGCCATCATTCTTATTTTGAGTTATTTTACAAAACTATTTGTGCACTCGAAATCAAAAAAACTCTCAGAGTTTGCCAGTGCTTACAATTCAACTTTTAATAAGCTAATGTTGTAAGGCATCAAATTATTTATCCAAGCAGTAAGCTGAGTCTGGCAATCTAGCTTGATCCCTAAATTTTCTTCCAGGAAGTAAAAATAAATCACTTCAGGTCATATAGCAATGCTTCCAACCCCGCAGTGTCATAAATTTCTAGACACAATGCTTTGAGTGTGGTGACGCTTTAAACTGAATTATGGAATTCTCCTCCTGACAGAGGGAGAAATTTGTCAAATTACTGGACCAGCTGCATAACTCACTGAGGATCGACCTTTCTAAATATCGGGTATGTGAGACTCTCTTCATGTGCTGTGTTTGTTTATGTCATCCCCATGCTTGTCTTTGTGATATATATTTTCACTGGACATGTGTTCCTACCTGCTCCGGAGACTTTTCTTATTTTCTTTGAAAATATATACTCTGTTAACTGCTACCTGTCACCTTGCTGATTGGATATACTTTGGATATCAAGGTTAATACTGCTCTGTTAACAGCATGCTGTGTGTTTACTGTGTCTGGCTGTGGCAACAATCCATTAACACTTTGTCGTAAATACCAAATGTGTTTGTCACCTTGATTATTTTCTCTCTTGAATGAATTTCAGTATTTATTAAATGCTTGTTTGATGTATGCAGATCAGTGTAATCACAAAGGATGGACATTAATGCAGATGCAAATGTGTAATGATAATTATAGGAAAATAAAGATGAGGTGAATGTCAGTTTTGATGTAGTGACCATATCTTACAGGGAATGACATTTGATAATGTCACATGTGGCACAGTCATGTTTCTATAGTTTGGATTACATTAGACCTATACTAAGGTAAATGGCTGGGATGGAGGCAGGTACACATGGATTCAGCTGGTTTGAGCTGTGATAATGAAGGAGTGGAGGACTTAAAATGTATGACTAGGGAAGGTAGGAATGTTTTACAACAAAGACTAATCTCACATTTCTATATGTAGGCTATAGTATCCCCACACAGTTCATGTGATCACAGCTATTCCTAACATAAATGTGAAATGAATATGTAACAGTCTCCTGGAATGCCTTATACATTAACGAGGCAATTCCCCCCCTCCATCCCGCCCTGCCCTGCTGTGCATGTTTTATTTAACTTAAGAGAAACGCTTTACATGTTGGTGATTAGGCTGCAGCATCCAAGGTCAGATGCTTCATCATTAACTGCTCACTACTTACTCAAACATACATACTGCAGCAAAAAACTAATGTGGTACACAGCGGGGAGTGGAGAAAGGGAGGAAAATCTCAACTGTATATGTTCCTACTGCAATGAGAAAGAAAGGAAGAGCCAATCACTGCTTGTACTAACTATTCAAAATCACAGGGGTTATTTGATCTATGACAATTTGTTAACATTACAAATGACAATATATAAACTGTACATATATAAGGATGATGTATTCTTACATATACGTTTAAGCATTATATATGCTTACATAGATAAGCCTTTCATTTGGCAAATACAGAGCTGCAGAAAAAAAAAAACGTATTGAAAGTTCCTGCTGGACTATTTCAGCAACATCATAGATTAATCGTTGTATCTTTATTTTTTAAAGTCTTATCGGGTCGGTAGTGTTGAATTGCGCTGCATTCAAGAAAGATAAGGTGTTCATATTTAGTCCCTTTAATTTTTCCCCACACTTACATACGTGCTGGGGAAAATCATGTTGGATATTAACAGGTGTAGTGATGTTTCACCCCCTCTGAATGGCTTGCACTCACAGGCTTATTTGTTAGATGGAATGGGTCCATTCCTCACGGACATTTCTTTGGTGATTGTCACAGAATGATGTGTAGCAGGCAACGTCTGTGAGTAAGCTTTATGTGCTGCTGTAGAGAATATTCCGCTTTACCTGTAATAGACATTCTGTGTATGTGTTGGGACTTAAACTGCTGTCAACATTTGATGCATTACTAGGCTACATGTCTTGCATGACATTTTCTCTTACACTTATTCATGTTGTTAGCTCAGTGACTTGTAACTATTGTGTGTTGTTTAAAAATGAAAATACGATTAAAAAGCAAAACATACAAGAGCTATAGACAAACATTGAAATTAAAAAACATGTACAATACTTTTGTTTGATGAGGTTTATACAACCCTCCAATGCAACCTCATCAAATGACCCCATTCTGAATCAAGAAGTTGTTAAAAAGAGCAATCAAAAACACATTTACCCTCTCCTCACCTAAATGACATGATATATGGTGTAATCGAAAATCTAGCCCGTATAGTGTGATCTGTAATTGCCAGAGATCTTCCACTCGCAGGTCACCAAATGTGTTGCAGTGTTCTACTCAGGGAGATTGAAATCCTGACATACAAACATAATCTGCCAGAACAATCCCAGGAGAGTTAATCCTGTTAGACACCACACACCGTCACAAACACTGTCACACACTCTGCCTGACCCTATAAGTGCACATGTTCATCCACATTCATGCGCTCTCATGAAGGTACAGACGACAAACATGCTTTTTCCTTTCACCCCCTCTCTCTTTTTCTGTCACTTTTCTCTCTCTGCCTCTCACACACATACATACAAACTCATCTCTCTGACACACATCCTTTTAAAAATTGCACACATTAATACGGCTGTTTGACTGCAAAGGCTCAATGACTCACACACAGGTATGCACCTGAGCAACCAAGCACACACACACACACACACACACACACACACACACACACACACACACACACACACACACACACACACACACACACACACACACACACACACACACACATCTCCACACTTCTCCCCAGCTGGTGGCATTTCACAGCGAACTGCAACTGAGAGATGACCCTCTCACCTTTAATGTGACACAAAAGGTAATGTGTCATTGAGTGGGTGATTGCTTTAGTTCCCCTGTTCTGTTCTACAGCTCGCTGTGCGAAGCCACGTGTGATTACAGACACACCCAGCTAGCTGCAGATCCTGCTCTCTGCCCACACAGGGAGAGAGAAAAAAGAGAGGTTGAGAGAAGGACAGCCAGAAGATACCAAGAAAGAGAGAGGATGTCAGGGAGAAAGACAATGAAGTTGCAAACAGTGAGGGAGGGATAAACAGGATTTAGAGGAGAAGAGGAGCGGTATGAAATAAGCAGAGAGAGCGTGGTTGAGGAGATGGGATTTTTTTTTAAAGTGGAAGAGAGGTGGAGAAAGTGGGAGTTGGATTTGAAAAGAGAGGAGGAACAGATAAAGAGTGAAAGGAGGCATGGTGAGCCGACGACGGCAAAGGAGAGAGAGGGTTAAGTGGAGGAGAGATGGCCTCTGTTATTTTCAGATGGCCTGGCTGTCTGGTGATGACACGTTCACTGAGAGCAGTCACAGAATATCACATTGGCTTCACCTGCCAGCACTGCCCTGCTGCTCTCTTGTCAAGCCTGCCACAGACCAGTGGTTCACACACACCACACACACACACACACACACACACACACACACACACACACACACACACACACACACACACACACACACACACACACACACACACACACACACACACACACACACTGAGTTCATTGTCTCTCTCCTTCATTCTCGCACTTTCTCAAGCTGTCCCACTGAGCCAACCTGCCACTATTGGACAGTAATAAGATTCAGATCTGGCTGCACCACCGTTCCTTGTATGGATTTCCCCATAATGACATTCTGAGCCAGATTGAGTTTGCTTTTGTAAAACAGAGGGCTTGAATCAGCAGGGAAAGAACCAGGGTGCTGCTGCCACTCTACATTTTGCTACATATGCGTTTCTTTCCTCTAAACTTTATTCTAACAGCCCTGATACACGGTGACACCTTGTATAGCCAATCTGTCCCAGCTGGGATTTGCAGGTTTCTCTGGGTTGGACAAAAAAATCGTAGTATTCTGAGCACGTTTCGAAGGGATTTGTGCTGTTGGCTTAGTTTGGACAGTCTGATATAAAGTGATGTTTGTTCAGTAAGCACCCATGGGAGTTGTGTGCTATTCTCTTAAAATGGAGCTCTGTGCAGTATTACAGTGGGCTCTGACAGAAAAAGGTTACTCAATGCAAATAACTACATGTTGCTTTCTACAGTGCAAAAGTTTCTTCTGCCTCCTGCAGTAAAAAAAAAAAAAACGACATGAAGAACAAATTGTTCTGTGCCTTCAGGATTGTGACACATTCAGTATCACTGAGGTGTTAATTGGACTTTAAAAGCATCACCTAAACAAAAAAATATATACTTCTGGGTCATTTCTACTTATCACAGTGTGCTACAGAAGTAAACAACCAGACACACATCGCAGACTAAACATTTTTCCCATTTTCTGGAGGAATACAGTTTTCAGAGAACAAAGCAGCATTTACTTTTTTGCAGGTATTTGTGCTAATCCTGCTTCTCTTTGCAGAGCAAAACGAGCATAATCCAAAGCTACTGCTTTGAAATGTGTGACATTGTAAAAAGCCAAACACAACTGACAAGCTAGTATCACATTTCACAGAGATAAAAAACCTCAGTACCGCCCTTCTTCTTCTTCTTCTTCTTCTTCTTGTTTTCTTGTAAAAAAAATCTTTAAAAAAAGTTTTTTAGAAGGAACAAAAATGTACGTCAGAAATGTGAAGTTCTGCATCTATACTAACGTATTAACTGCGATATTCTTTGGTTATAAAAAAATGTATATATATATTTTTTCAAATGATAGAGAAGTAGAAGTTCCACTTCTTGAAACCAGTTTAAGAGACATTATCCTTTTAACAGAGGAAAATAGAAAAAATAGACTGATTAATGTTGTTTTCATACGTCATAGTTCATAAAGTCACTAGTCACACAAAATCAAAACACACAGAGACAAGCCCACAGTAGCATGCCTTCACTACGGATGTTCTCAGTGTTGTGTTCCTGTCACAGTTGCAGGCCGGTTCCCGTCAGTGCATGACAGCTTGTGATCTCTTTCTCCACATGTTTACCTGAACTTCCTCCACTTCTTGCCTGGTGTTTTACCAGCAACTTTTCATTTTGTCATACGCTGCAACTATAATCTTAAAAAGAACATAGTTAACTCATGAGTCAACTTTCTACCCAATTAAATAATAAATAGTTAAAATGATCAGTGTGAAATTACAGCTGAGTTCTTGCACAGTAATCATGAAGCTACATGCTGTGTTTTTTACACCAACATAAGTCCAAAAGACTGAGTGAATGACCTGATATTATCATTAAACCGATCAGTTGAGTATTTATTTATTTGAAGTCAAAGTATAGTTATTAAAGTTGAGGGGAAACAGTGTCCTCACCTTACTTTCTTATGAGAAGCAGCTGTTTTTAGTTGTGCACTTGTATAGGCGCTCACCCAGAACAACATTCAATGAAGACGAGAAGAAAGACAAAGAACTAAAAGCTCATCAGCATCACTCACTCCTGGTCCCATCTCATAATGGACTTTCTGTCATTTTTGGAAGGCAGTGATGATGTTGTCTCTACCTTTGGCTCAGAGACGGATGCTATGCTGTTTTAGTATGCTTGCCTGCTTCTATGCAATAAATCTGTTCCTTTTTCCTTTGTTTTTGCTGCTGAAGTTTGAGAATTTTTCAATTCTGACCAAATGGATGTGCCACACCAGAGAAAATATAATAAGTGTCTGTCCTTGAATATCATTTACACAAAATGCTTTTTGAATAGCAGCAGGATAATGGGAGCGATTTTAAGATCAGGCCTTTAGGGGTGCTCAGATCCTAAAGAAATTGTAACATGTAGAGTTCCTGTTCAATCCTCCAAACAAGTAACATTTTCCGTCATGCGAAATTATACAACAATAAAAGTAACATGAAGTTAAATGAGTTTCACACCACAAAAAAGTTTGTAAGGAGATGAAAGATGCTGTATTCAATTCATAAACATATAATTATAATGTCATTATTGTTTTTTCATTATTTTCTGAGCATAATACTCATAGTTGAGCCATGTTTTAATGCTGATACCATTATACCATTGTAACATTTTAAATGAAGGAATTGTACATGTAACAATGCATCTCAACATTGTGTATAATTAACAATGACCTGGATATTTTCTCACTAATTAAATCACTTGGGAGTAAAACATCATATTTTTACACCAAAATAACTGAACCTTAGCATCATTGACTTCTGGGTTTTTCTTAATTTAATTAAGTTAGGAAGGGAATTTTCTTCTGCACCCTGAAAATAATTATTACACAGCATACGTAACGTTAGCTAGCGAGCCAGAGCGCTGAACAAACTTAATGAAGGACGGCTAATAACTTTGGCTTTTGCTTAGAAATCTTTACTCCCTTTCACTTCACTGTGTGTGCACACCTGCTGGTTTAATCGTGACTTTTGGATAAAAAACAACTGTACAAAGGGGGGGGGGGGTTATGCTGTATGGCATTAGCAAAGGATTATTTTGACTTAAAATGTTATTATTATTAATTATTTGTAGACATTATTCAAAATAATAGCCAAATGTAAAAGTAAGATATTTGCAAAATGTCTGTCCAATTTCAAACATCTGGTGAGGCTCATGCCCCTGTTATTATTTTTTGGATGTTGAAATGAAATGTAAAGGTACTGAAGCTCCGCTTAAAAGGGTTTAAATTCACTTATGGATGTATCTATTAGCGGTGGCAATCTGTTCTCAATGAATCCCCCCCACACTGTCTTGTGTTTACTTAACAATGCTTTACTGCTACACATATACAAGGTGTTTTTAAGCTACCCAAGCAGCCTTAATGTGGTTCCTCTCCTTAAGCTGTGATTTTCATTTAGAAAAAGCCTGCTCATTTGCTCTTCGTATTAAACCGATGTAGTTAAAAAAAACACTTTCAAACGTGCACCATTTCCAATCTGTGATCAGAAGACATTGTGAAGATCCCGTCTACCTCCTTTAAACCAAATGAGTGTCAATGAGTCCTTGACTTTACTGGATGAAAATCATCATAATTACAATGCTTGATTACCTTTTGACATCAGAGAATCAACTAATTAACATGTTTCACATGCTAAACGCTGGAGGATTTATTTTTCTGACAAATAAATAGAACATGATACAAGGTTTTATTCTGTTTGCAATTTGAATGAGTAATTTATTTTCAAAACCAAGACTGTGAATGAAACTTCCACTGTTGCTGAAAAGCCGACTGCCAGGAGTAAAAATTGCACCATTTCTCCCACTCTAGGTGATTTTCTTCTCCGAGATAAAGGTGTTAATGCTTTGATTAGAAAAGCAAGAAAGCACTGATTAGTTTGACATTACTTGAGGAATACTGGCGCCTTTGTGGATTAGCTATCTTTATTTTTCAGAATTATTTTTTAGCAATAATGTAACATGATTGGTTTCACCCTATACAAGTTGCAATTCCTACACCACCAAAAAAAGAAGAAAAAACACAGCTAAAATACATTTTGACTGTTCCAGCACAGTGATTTCAGGAGTAAAATAAATGGCAACATTCAAGGCTGCAGTGGAAGCTTTGCATCCATGTTTCAAAGAGACTGGTGGTTATACTTGTGTTTGAAGGCTACAGATATAGGAGGTTATTGAAAGAGAAATCTCAGTGTCAGCAGAGAGAGAGAGAGAAGAGAGAGAGCGAGCGAGGGAGTGACTGATGGCTCTTACAGTATGGGCTTCATGCTGTGAACGAGACTGCTGGGGCTACTGTAGCTGCAAGAAACGTCTTTTCTTTGATTGTAATTTGGGATTTATATTTAAAGCTGTCTACTGGGGACTAGATGAGACAGGATGCAATAGCTTCTTAAATCACATTTTAAAAAATTCAAACGGAAGATGATCCTACAAATACGAACAAGTGATGAAATACCAGAAGCAGTGATGCAAACAACATTTTGTTTGAGGCAGAAAAACAGCTCAAAGATTGTCTTCTTCTCTCCCCCTCCCTGTCAGCAGCCAAATATAGAATAACTGGTCCATATTTGCTTGTTCAGTATGTGTGTCATGCTTGTTTGCCTGGAGGTTCTTTAGTTTATCCATGTTAGGGATTTTGAAACCAGTTTTTAGGTTGAGTTGAACAAAGAAAAAACAACAACATTGTCTTATTTTCTGTTCTTTCTGACTAGAAAATATCCATCTTGATTCATTGAACACAATACAAATCTGTTTTGCCTGCATCATAACACATCTTGTTTTAAAAAGATCTCTCCGGATCGGCCTTTCTTTCAGGCAAACCTTGTGCTGTCAAGCCTGCGGGCTGCTGCGGTTATTTGGCTCAGTTTTCTGAAGTTCTATTGTGAATTTTTTGGGTTTATAAAAAGGAAAGTAAACAGGCATCATTTCATAAGAGCACAGAGCGATTGGGTGAAGTAGGGTAATGTATGGGGCAGTGAGGCCTTTCCTCAGGGCTGTCAGGGCTTTATATGCTCCCCGTCACGGTACTCTGCACTGCCTGATGACTTCATGGCCCCCGAAATGGAGGTTTTCATCTGCAGAGACCTCCCTTGTCCACTAAATGATTAGACAGACAGTCATTTCGTTATGATTGCTGGGCGTCGCTCTGTAATCAATTACTATGTTTTGGCCTAAGTGATGTGATGTGGAGGGTCTGGTTGTGTGACGTTAAAAGGCTGCCGTCAACAAGATGTCTTCTCTCCTCTAATTATTTTCTTCACTTTTCCCTTCTTTTTTTATCTCTTTCAGGATAATTTCCCTGCAGGAAACCCAGAGCGCCTCCAAGATCTCAAGTCCACGGTTGATTTGTTGACCAGCATCACCTTCTTCAGGATGAAGGTAGCTTGTGTGTATGTGTGTGTGTGTGTGTATTTGTGGGGTTAGGCTGTATTGACCGGGAAGTAGTTAAAAGGGGGATGGGGGGGCTGGCTCTATGGCACTTAATGTAAGAAATTGAAAGAACAATAAACATCGTAATAAATGAAGACGGAACCCGGCACGAGCTAACCATCGTAGATGTATGAAATAAATGTCATTTATGACCTTTTATCACGGGAGTGCACGTGAGTGAGATCCCTTTATTACTGGTTATGGCTGTAAAATCGACCAATGTTCAATTATAAACGTAAACCCAGATAGATTTTTGGTACATTCACATCTAGCTGAAATCAATTCAAACACATAACTCTAGAAAACATGTCCTCCTCAGCAACGATCAGACCTAGATGATTTATCTAAGCCCTGTTTCTTCACTGCAGACTCAAGCACTGGGGGTGTGTTCATAATAATGTAGGTAATGTATGTTGACCTGCCTGCTGTTTAAAATGCTTCCAGCTCTGTCCCCCCCCCCCTTTAACACTATATAGTATGCCTTGTCTTGAGTTGTCTTCCGCTATATTAAAAGCTCGCCTCCATTCAGCTCTTTCTTTGGTGGGAGAGGGGCGGGGGTGTAGAGCAGAGCGCTGAGGCGTAGCTAAGATGGCAGCTGTGAGCAAAGGAAGGAAAACTGTCACTTTAGGTTATCAAAGCTTTCAGTCTGTGCCATGGCCATGCTGAGCTTTATGGTACATAGTACATACACACCGCTGCTCTTACACTGGGGCTTCAGTATTACCAAAGGATGTACTGCACTCTCTCCTAAATGTCAGGCTGGCCTCATGTCAATTATGATATACATAATAGATGTGATAAAGGTTCCCTATTCAACAAGCAAGTAATACATTTGGATTAATATTTCAAACATGTAATGTGATATCATTACGTTATAGCTCAACTGATGGATGGTGCGGTATGTGGTAATATACATAAGACAAAGTAACTGCCATTGGCTGATAACATCATGTACAGCTTTATGTTTAGCATTAAATGCTATTAGAACATCTTATGCTTTGAGCATTCTTTCGTAACATCTGTGGGGTTTTTTTGTGTGCAGGTTCAAGAGCTCCAGAGTCCACCGAGAGCCAGTATGGTGGTGAAGGACTGTGTTAAAGCGTGTCTGGACTCTACGTACAAATACATTTTTGATAACTGTCATGAACTATACAACCAGCTCCTCGACCAGGTAAGCAGATCCTTTAAACCATAACTAAACCTCCTTGTCAAAGTCAGGCCTTTACTGACGCATGGGAAGAAGTGCAGTGTCTTTAAAAACTCATATGACTTACACAAAGTGATGAACTGCCGAATAGAAGATCGAAGCATTCCTGAAATCACATCTTGACGATTTAATGACACATACTTATAAATGGGTATATTCAACATTTAATGACTTCACACCTGGATTTTTTAACGTGTCTTGAAACACTTAAGTGTGGGGGTTTAAGAGTCCACACAAATGAATTCCTGTTGCTTGCTTCTTTTACCAGAGACAGTGTGTGCCTGTCTGTATCTGAATCATCGCCTTTCTGGCTGCATCGTCTGTGCATAGCAGCATCATTGGCTCGTCAGTCAAACCATTTACTAAATCACTACCTGCTCTGCCACTTTCTTAACACACTGGCAGTCAGATAGGGTTTGTATTTTTTTAAAGAAGGACAGAGGCGTTTACACCTTCTTGTCTTTAAGAGTGATGTGTGTTTTCACTAGGCTATAATCCTGTCAACCCACCAATATACAGTTTTCCTTAAAGAGCGTTGTCTGCAAGTCTTTGGATAATGCTAAGAATATCTTAAAACAGATGTCGAGAAAACATATTATTATTTAAAATTAATATTCTAAAACTTCATGTGTTCACTACTGCTATTCTTGTTTTGGATTTGTCTATCATAAATTTAGTGTTGGGTTCCCTACGCTTGAAAGCCATGTCCCAGACAACAACTGATACTGATAAGAAACCCTATGATGCTGGGAAATTCTTTCCGGCATCAACTGGACATTTGAATTTTTCTGAGATAATTTAAACTGAACTCAGTACATTACTGGTCGGAGAATGACCCAAGACCAGGGACATGTTGGATCCATTAAATGGACCCATGAATACAATAACAAAAGTAAATGCCCTTTTTTAAACCTAATCATTCAGTAATAGACCACCACACCATAATAATCTTACCAGGGCTTACTTTCTTCTCATCTCTTTCCCCAATTTGCTTAAAGAGGGCTTGATCAAAGATTTGCTGTATGGTTTGACTTCTGTGTAGGCCTTTCTTTAAATTGTCATATAGCTTTTGTTTCACCTCGTAGTAGAAGGTATCCATCTGTCCTTCACTCTGCTGCCTCAATCTCACTGGCACACAGTCAGAACCTGTTGTTGGCTCTACCTCCCAATCAGCCTCCTACTCACATTGTATGTCGCTAAGGCCTATGTGTTTATTGGTTTTGTGAAGGTTGGTTGGTATTATTTCTCCTAACCAATCAAATGGTAAGAAGCCAGGTATATAGGCAACTATATATAGACTAACAGATCGATGTGATACAATTTGAAGGAAGAGGGGCTGGGTTTAGACAACACCTGGAAAGAACACCAACTTGTTTGTCTATGCTTGTGACTTTTGAGAGTGCAGAGTACTCTGGTCAACACATCGTAGAAGGCAGAAGAAAAAAAGAAAGATCTGAGGCATACATGCTAGACTTTCTGTCGGGAGGTCCAAGTTTACCTGCTATTGCCTTTTCCGAATAACAATCATTTAACAGTCAGCTCTACCTGATTACTTTACGTTTATTTCCCAAGGAGAATGGCCTCCACACCACAGAAGATAGTGTACTCTCAGATAATGGGCGCAATCCACTCAGAAGTTGAATAATAAGCTTCCTTTGTTTAAAACAGCCTGAGGGGTTGTAAGCAATTACCAAAGCAGAGCGATAGACACTTTGGCTAATTACATCTTCGTCCACCAAGGTGTCACAAGTGACAGCCTCTCCATCAATGCTTCCTTCACAGTAGAAGAAGAAGACATCAGCTTCACAACAAAGCAAATCTCACTGTGACTATAAATGATTATGTTCACATATACCAGGTAGCCTTTGACTCAGCGGAAACAACACATTACAGACCCCAATTCTCCACTTGCTAACAGTGACTGAGTGCAGCAACACTTAGGCTGACATGGTGGCCGTGCAGGCAGTGAAATATCTCAGTCCACTACGAGGCATCTTGCATAACATAACAACAAAGCTCTCTGCGTCTGCCTGGGCATAAAATCACTGAAGGGAGGGGGGGCAGGGGGAATCTGGCCTAACAGTTTCTTCAATCCTCGCAGGAAAGAGAGGATTTTGAAGACGAGGGGGAAATAAAAAGAGAGCAAAGGATTCATACAGAAAGGGCACAAAAAAAAAAACACACACCATAAATTCCAAGAGTAAATTCAAGGAGCAATGAAGGTGCTAGGCCGTAATTGAAAATGTATTAAATAAAAATGCATATGTATTCATGAATTCTAATGTATAATGTAAATATAAATGCATAAGTAGATGGAAGATTATAGAGGCAATCTGTTTTTTGAAAAGGGAGGTCGATAATGGTTGACAGGCTGACACAGACAGAGGCAGAGACCTGCTGTGCTGAAGAGCCACATAGGAGAGAGATTACTACTCCACTTGTTACCGAGCAAGCGATTCAAATTGATTTGATAAGAATCGCTCTTACTAACGTTGTCACATATTTGCCAACAATCCCCAAATGGTCGGTTTAACTATCTTTGAAGAAGACAGTGTTTGTTCTCAGGATCTTTGTGTGTATTTTTCCACATTACCATATGTATGTACATACAACATGTTTTTTAATGCATGCATTGCAGCGGCTTCAGATCCACCCACTGCGCTTTATCTCTAGAATTTGATCATATTCTCAGAGAACCTCCTTCAATCAGAGCCTCTGTAATCTGTGTTTTACATTGAGAGAACTGATGAGAAGCCAGTTTTATGCTAATGCTGATTTCTCCTACACAGGGACCGAAAGTGCTAAAACATAAACATAAACCACTAGCTACCCTCAAGAGGGGTGATACTCTCTTATTAATATGTCATGAAGTGCCCCCACCACTCCTTGCAATGCAAAAATGAAAGTACACTGCACTCTTTGTTCAATACAGTATTCAGCTCCCAGTACAACTGAGACTGAAGCCCATGGGTCGGTTGTTGTCTGTAAAAAGGCAGCAGGCCACTTAATCACCTTTAACAATGTGTTTGTACCTGCTTGAGGTGAATACTGATGAGCAGAGGGAGTCTGCACTGAGTTTTAGCGGGTTGCATGCAGCATCCAATTTAGTAGGGATGACACAACCTTCAGTGTCCTTCATACATGCATGCGGCTACACACACATGAACACGCACATACACAAAGATACACATTCAGACTGTTTTTTTCCATAACTGACTCACCTCCTGCAGAGATACTTCTTTCATTATTCATGCCAGAAATTTAGCATTAAAGCACCTACTGCATGCACTTCTATATCGACTCCTGATGGCCCAGAGCTGTTCAGCCAAACCTCGCTTTTGAACTTAGTACAACTATTCTGATTACATAAACAATGAGTTTGGGGCTGGAATTGATCATATGCCCATGTAATATAGCTTTGATTAAACTCCTGTTTCTTTTCACTGGTAATCACTTGTTAGACTCTCAATATGTTGAATTTCATGATTAATTGGCCGAGCAAATCTGTCTTTGGCCCTGGTTGCCTTAATTTATGAGCACGCTCATCATCATTTGTTTCTTTACAGCCATTTATAACCGGTTTTGGTAGGGCATGCTGTTGATGATTTATTTTTTGGTCAGTACATGAAAATGTCTCAAGCTTAAATTTCATGTCCTCACACAGTCTTGGAGTTAAGATTCTGTTACACATAGAACTCAGACTTTCTCCCACACCTTTGCATTTTGTCATTTCTTGCTACATAGCAACAGAAGTTAATATGCAAATGAGAAACGCATGACTCTTTGATCAACATGATGCCTGGGATGTAACGTCCCATGGAACGAGGAGTAATCTGTTCTCATGACGATGGCAAGCAGAGTGATAGACTTTTGCCACTCTAAATCCAAATGATTAAAGTGCTGAATCCTGCATTGACACGATGGGCTGTCACAAAATCAGCTGTAAGCTTCATCTCTGCTTCTTGTTCTTGGAAGATTAATTTCAGTAGATCTCCCATCTGCAATGCAAGCAAGACATGCGGCACTATATCCCATTGGTCGCAAGATATTTGATAAAAAGATGTACAAGTTGATGATTGTAGGTTTTGATTGGATTCTAAGGATCGTATTGATGATAAATGGACTTCTGTTGGATTTCCATATCCCCAGCTTTCACGACATCATCTCTGATCTGTGCAGCACCAAAGTCATTATGCTTTAGGTTTTAAATGATTCAACATAAATAATTTAATAACTCTATCTCCATGTTTAACTTTTAAAAATGGTTTTATTAATAAAGACAAGCAGACTTTTAGTTTTCAACTTAAATACACAATCCAGGAAAAGTTAATAGCTTCTCCTTCAGAGGTTTGGTCTCTAAAAGTTGGTTACTGGACTTTCAAATGTTTGCTGGTTTTATGGTTCGTTTTATTTGTAATTGTGATTCCATGATGTCAGTACTTATGCACTTTTGTATGTTTTCTTTAATCTTTTTTGTGCATGTATGCACGTGCTATCCTGGGACTGTTAGCCAGCATAGTTACATCTTGCAGATTACATGATTGACCCAAGTGCTCATAATAATGAATTTGACCTTCTTTTTTCTTTCATGTATAAATGTATATGTCATACTGGTGTGCAATATGATCTGTCAGTATGGCTCGTCTTCCACTGACTTAGCTCTGCTTTTTTTTAGGTGAGTTTTCTGAGGAATCTGTTCATGGCAATGTGAAAGACTGTGGCACTTACTTGCTGACTGAAAATCATTGTGGTTACACTCAGTGCGGGGTCAAGAGATGGTAGACTCACTTAGTGATTTAAGAATCAACATCTTTCACCCCAGGGACAATAACAGAGATTTTTTGCACACAAAAAAGTCTCAAACTTGGATCTACATAGCCACACTAAATCCATGAGATCATGCTTTTAACCTTTGAAGATTTAAACCTGAAGATTTCAGTTCTGGGTGGTTTGCTGACGTAACATGAAGAATCACCAAGGCTGAAGGAAAGGTTAAGTTTGCTTTAGCAACGTAATTGCAACACAGCAAACACTGCTGCTTGCAGCAATTAAATAAAATGACAGACATAAATGCTACATTATATACATGCGTCTTTTGTTTCCTCTAAGCTCTCGTGCTTGTAAAGATAATTTGAGTTCCATATGGAAATTGTGGACTCAGCTTCATATTATGAGTCATAAATTCTACAATCTGCATAATATGAACAAATGATTATATTGCTGAAAAAGCTTACCATATTTATTTCATAAAATAATCTCAAGGATATTAGCTTCTCAATTTGAACAATAATTTAAAAAATATTTGTTTGTGGTATTATTTTGCTCTTGCCAATTTCCCAAATTAAAATTGTATTTTCATCATGATGAAGGCATCAACAATGATCTTCTTACTCTCACATCTTTCTTTTTTTTCTTCACTGCAGAGTCGAAAGCTGGACATTTCACGGGAAGAGCAGGGTCCGTCGATAAAGAACCTGGACTTCTGGCCAAAACTCATCACTCTCATGGTGTCTGTAATCGATGAGGACCGGACTGCTTACACCCCAGTCATTAACCAGTATGTACTTTATTTGTGTACTTTGTTTATCAAACGTTACGCGAGCTATGCGAGGCAGTCTGATCCATTACATGTTCATAGTGGACCTCATTTGATGCTCTGCCAGCTTCTGCAATGAGCAGCCAGATAACCTGTATGTGTCTTTGAATGCAGTCATGATATTTGCATGTTACTCCATTTTATCGCAGCTCTGTTCATTTCATTATTAAAGTATAGACAACCACGCTAAAACACACTTACAGTAGCATGCTGGGAGGCTGAGTTTCCCGTGATGCTTCTGAGCTTTATACTTTATACTGTATTGTTATTTTTTTATGAAACCACTCGTGACCACAGATGACTTAGATTTTGTTGGCTTGCTGATAATGAATTGGTTATGGTCTTCAACAAGGCCAATGCTGATGAATAATTGACTTACTCTTTGATATTTATATCACTTTGACTGTATTATGTATTAAGGGTCAGTACAGATGGAACACGTTTATAATCAGATGAGGGTGATTTAAAAATGAATTTACGAATATAAGAATATAATGCACGCCCAACAGCTCAATGTATTCACTGAATGTGACATCATATATATATATACGCAGTGCTGCGCAAGAAAGCTTGGAGGCAGCCAGAGAAGGCAACAGAAAAAAATGCTTTGTTTTTATGGTGAGCCGTAGTGTGGATGGATAATAGAGGAAGGCAGTGTTGCTGAATTATGTAACAGATGAGATTTTTGTTTGTTGAAAAAAGAAATATGATGAGAGCTGGTTATGGTGATGGTGTTCAGAGAGGTTTCAAGACGTTTGCATTTGCCTCCCTTTCAATGGTTGGGTTAATAGAATAGAACAAATTACACCACCTGAAGAAAATGGAGCGGAGCTTGCCTTAGAAGAAATCAAATGAAGCATATTTTCCTCTTGTCCCGCTCATATAGGTCTCCTCACACTCTTGCCTCCCCCTTTTGTTTTCTCCATCTTCTGGCTGATTTACGATGCTTATTAACACTTTGTTTATGCCCTGAGCTTTCTCTCCTACACTATCTAATGATAGATCTGCAATATTCATGCCCATTTCCTCCACATTCCCCCGGTCAACTTTCACAGTGATAGCAACCCTGATGCTTTTTCCCGGTAAACTCAGGTGTTGACTTGTTGCCTTTGAATAAAAGAAGCTGCTGCTAGGAGGAGACACAAATGGTGGCCTGTTGTTTTGTGCTGAGAATATTTACATGGGAATCTAGCCTAAAAATGTTTGAGCCAATAGAATGATCTTCAGAATGTATTTTATGATTGGAAATATAAAATTGGATGAGGCAGTTGTTTTTTAAAGTGTAAAGGATAAGAGGCTTTAGGGATTATTTCCAGAAATACTCATCGTGTGGATTTTTAAACCACCGAACATCATTTATTTTCAGAACATAGAAGTATATTTCAAAGCATCTAAAGGCATACAGCCGCTGCAGATGTTACATTCATTACTGAAATGAAGAGTTTTCATTGTCTGCATTGCCTGTAGTCCATGATGTGGGTGAACGATGACCCTGAAGAATAATCAAGGTTAGAGAAGATTCTGAGTGTGATTTAGATAAAAGAGGAGCAATGGTGTCTGGGAATTTATGTTGTTTTTGTAAGCTGCCAGTGGGAGCACAAGCCAAAAAGTAAAACATTTTGAGATAAATTGACCTTTCACAGGCCAGGGCCCCATCATCTCTACATTTCCTCCAATCACCGTCTGAAAATACGGAAAATTAAACCATTGACATCTCACATTCTAGCTCTGACTGGAAATCTATAAGTATTCAAAATGGCAGATGACTTGCCAAATAGGCTGCCACCCCCACCGCCGCCTCTTTCACTGTCTTTTTCTTTGCTACATTATTTCATCCTTTCCTCCATTTCTTTTTCTCATCTTTAAGCCTCATGCATGTATCTCCTCTCTGCCCCAAATCAGCCAGGTTTGGCACTGACGAGGGATTATTAGATTATGAAATCCACCAACCATGTCTTCTTGCACATCTGTTAAGTCGTTTGTTAGAGACTCAGGCTGGGCCAAGCCATCAGGCCACCCAGTCAAGCGTGTCGTTCAACGGAAATGAGTCTGATTTGAATCCCTTTCAATTCCACCAGGTTTCCACAGGAACTGAATGCGGGCCAGATCAGTGCCGAGATCACGTGGAACCTTTTTGCCCTGGATATGAAGTATGCAATGGAAGGTCAGTAACAACACTTATAAGACAATTATCTCTTGCATGAGGGTGTGTGTGTGTGTATGTGTGGATGTGTGTGTGTGTGTGAGGGTGTGAATGAGAGCTGAAGGTAAATACTTAAAAGTGAGTAGTAACCACATGAGCAACTCTGTGGTAGCTATTTCCTAATGAGCAGTTATGGCTGACATGTTTCTCTCTGCTTCTTGTGCAACTATCCATGCGTAACTGTATTTTACTGCGGCGTATGTGAGTGATGTTTATTGGCTGGTGTCACAGTGTTTGTTATCGACTGTGTCTGCCTTTGGTCAGCTCTACTGCCTATCTGGATTACACCCCCCTGTTTACACTCTATTGATCATTGTAGAGAAACTGGAACCCCTTTTAATCGAGATAAACAATTGATCAATGGCTATCAAAAAAAGCAGGAGCTCAGGTTAGCGAGCTATCTATAAGAAGAATGGAAGTACAATTTAACCCTTAAACGTTGCATTCATCAAACCACAAGTTAAGTGCTTTTAGATATAGTATTCAAGAATTTCTATCAATAAAACAATTTTTTAGGTATTCTTGTTTTGGCAGGATAAACACAGTCAGTGCCAGGTATAAGTGCATTAGTTTCAATATGAAAGGAGAGATTTAGAAGTCTCAACCTGGCACCAACCAATATAATCAATCTTTTTCTTCCATTATCACTAATTACCCAAAAGCATAAATCTGTCAATCCTTAGCAGCCTGGCTGTGCAACATTTAGACAGAAAATATACTTAAAAATGTAATTTAGTTTACTTGCCATTCTAAGTAGTTAATATATATATATGCAGTACCTCCAATAGTGACAATGCAACTTAGTCTCATTCAAAAGACTGAAGAGACACACAGTTATCAAGCAATGCATGTTAGATGTGCATCGTTTAAATGTGGGTTTTGACTTCAATCCCCACCCCCTCTATATCCATCTCACGTCCCAAAAGGCAGAAAACGCCTCCTGGATGTTATTGAACTGGCTGTTTTTTAGGTTGGAGGCTTCAGGATCAAATCCCCAAGATAGCAGGATGTACAGTGGGAGGGCGGAATGCTGAAGGGAGTTAATAGGAGGGAGATTGTGAATGAATGTTAAAATGGCTTTGTGCATGTGCGCGTGCGTGTATGTGTGTGTGTTGCAGGAGCAGGACAGCACCTGAGTAATGACTTTTCTGGAGGTTTGCTCAGCCAAACTTTGACACAACAGTGTCTCTTGAAAGCAATTTTTAAACGTATAACACAGAAATCCTCCAATGTTAGTGTGAGCACACAATAAGACCATAGCTCACAAATTATTATGCTTTTTCCTCATAACATGTCGAATATTCCCTTGGGGGAAAAATGCTTGTTACATTATATTTAGTTGTATTTGGGGTGTAAAGATTGTCAGTTCTGACATCATACTGGAGAGCAGAAAAGCTGTATTGCACCAAAAACTTCTTCAGCAGTTGTTAGGTGCTCTTCTCTGCTTTGGCCTTACTTAAACATTCAGGTTAATGGAACAGTATTTTTCATTCAAGTTGAACCTGTAAACCTCACTGTTGAACTACACATGCCAGAGGGCATGGTATTTTTTTCCCCTTAGATTATGATAGAAGGGGTGTAGTGGGAGAAATGGGAGAAGCTGAAATGTGACTGAGGGGAAAAAAACAAAAAACAAGGCACAGAAGCACAAAAAGGGCTTGTTGGTGATTTATCCTCATCTACGCAACACACGCCCGCTGCTCTCGCCGTGCTTAGCCACCTTGAGTTGCTATGGTAACCAGGTGCCAAGTGAAGACACTGCTGGCCTATTATGCACAGACCTGGAAGTATAAAAAGAAATATTTTTTTACATGTGATGACGTTTTCAGTGTGATGTTGTACTTTGAATCAGGAGGGTGTATATGCATATGAATGTGACCATCCATCAGATTTTAATGAGACGTGTAGACTAAAAGGTGTTTGTGCAGAGATGGATGTGTTTTTCTGTGGAGAGGTAATGAGAAGCCATAAAGCAGCAAAAAGATGTCTAACACATGTAAACTGAGAGCAGCAGTAAATCACTCATTTTTCACGGTTGCATGTGTCATGTTTTGATGTTTTATCATTTAGTAAAATGATGTGTGATACCCAGGTGTTGTATTGAAAACAAAAGAAGGCAGCAGTTAAAGCTTTCAGCCTCCTCTATCTTTCAGTAGCTGAACTTTTCAGACTTCCATCCCCTTCTTTCATAAACAGGATGTTGTTACTTATTGCATCTCTTTTCTTTGCCCTACAGAGTAAATGCCTTTAATGACTCTTCTTCCATCGTTTCATCATCATGCAATGCATTACTCTATGTCTCTGTTTTTACTGGAAGAGTAGTGGCCTCTTTACTGCATGTCTCTTCTTGTAACATGAAAATCCAACCGACTGACACACTCTTAATTAAGAGCAGAGGATTGGGGTAAAACAGCAATCTGGTTCAAGAAATTAGAGAGTTCCAAAGTGCTCTGATAATGATGAGAATAAAGGGAATCCCAAGAAATAAAGTGTCTTGCATCTACGAGCGATTTAGTGAATTGAAAAAAGGCCAGAGCCGACATATTCACAGAAAATTGAGCCTTTGACATACGTAAGTCGATTGGGCATTATCTCTCCAAAAAATATTGAGGGGACTTTTGTTTTTACTGTGGCACATGCTGGGGACAGTAAATATTTTGTTATGAGCAATATAAAATGTAACAGTTCATTGTTTTGTCAACACAAATCTAAAAAATGTAATTTAAAAAAGCTGAAGTGAAATATGAATAATTTGTTTAGATAATCAAAGATGATGTAAGAGGATGCTTTTTTTATAAGTTTGAGGAGCAAAGAATGAAAACTACTCGATCAAACATTTATTCTGTCAGGTTTGAAACAACTGCCCGGTATTACTCTGTCATAACCTGATCTCTAGTAGAAAAGTATTTTGTTTAACATCACAGTGTCATGATAACTTTTAAGATCATTTGCCTCTTCGCTGTTTTAAAAGGTGATATACACTCTATCAGAAAAAGATAGAGATGGAGTGTATGTGTGGCTCTCTTTGGGGATGTGCACACATCTGAGTCAGGGCAGCTGGTCATGTGACCACCTAGGGTGTTACTGACTGCTGTCACAGCAGGTTTTGGTGGTGTGTGTGTTTGTGTTTGTGTGTGTTTGTGTGTGTTTGTGTGTGTGTGTGTGTGTGTGTGTGTGTGTGTGTGTGTGTGTGTGTGTGTGTGTGTGTGCAAGTGTGCGTCTGATTTGCCTTAGGATGTCCGTGTTACAAAAGGAGACGAGAATCATGGATGGACTCAGTCACATATACCCTCTTTCTTGCTCCTTGAGCTTGGACCCCCCCCCCCACACACACACACACACACACACACACACACACACACACCCTGCCTGTGCCTCTTCTTGTCAGTACATCACTGCATGCCCACAGCGACACGTGCCAGGAGGACATGACTGTCATGTTCCTCAAAGGAGCACTTTGTATGAATTATTGCTCATTTCCTGTTGGTCCTACTGGCTGCTGGAGCTCTATGTTGGGTCTGGTAGTCAGAGGAAGGAGAGATGGACAGCTCATAAACACAAACCATCCTGGTGCAGACATGAACATAGTAAACCACATAATGTGTTTTACTTTATAGATTGTTAAAGCACATAAACAGCAGATGGGGCAAGCTGTAACTTCTAAAGTGAAGCCCACATTATTGGATCGGTCCTGGAGTGTTTAATGTTGCAGAATGTGCTGACCATGATGTATTTATTCATATTTTTTACTTGAGAATCACAGTACTGACATTATTTACCCACATACATTAAGTATCGGGCTTGTAGCTAAATGACCTGCTTAAAACTTTAGCCTGCTTATGTTATTATACTGTGTGTCAATGTAGCATGCGAAGAAACATTACAAGGGAATCAGTAACAAATTGAGCCTCACCAACTTTGACTTTGTTTAATGCTACTCTGTATGGCAACAGTCCCTCTGCTCAATGAGTGAAAGTCACTGAATTCTTTGGCAAGATTAAATTACATCCACAGACTGAGTAATATGTGCATTGTAGGCCAGCTTTGCCTAAATTGCTTTTACTTGAATGCTTCTTTGATGAGAAAGTAGATTACTTTTTGGCGAGATCTGTGCAAATAATCATGGATGCATTTGTGTCTGTGTTAGAGCTCATAGAGAATCAAATGTGTGGCCATAGAACATGATTTTTTTTTATATGTAATGGAAGAGCCGTTAAACCACAGGGAATGGAATTACTTTCATTATGGCTCACTGTTCAAAGGTCAGGCGGAAAAACATTCAGCACACCTGTACAATAGCATCTTAAAACTGTAAGATAAATACCACTTTAAGGACTGTTCTATATTTCCCTGGTGTAACATAACCTGTCTTGTCTGACTACTGTCCAACACAACCAGGGCCTGTGTTTGTGCATGTGTGTTATAATTGTGTGTTTTAAGATGACCTGCAGAAAAGCTGCAGAAAAATACACAAATGGGTTCCTCATTTGTATGCAGGCTCAAACTTTGCGTGTTTGTGCGTGTGTGTGCGTGTGTGTGTACATTCCTTCCATTATGCATGAGTTACTCGTTATTTTTATCAATGAAAGTCAATACTGAGGTGGTAGGAGAAGGTAAACTGAGCCAGTCCGTTCTGCTGTTTTTCTAATTCAGACAAATGGAAGTAACTCAGAGTGACCTGACCTGTTTACATAAGAACACTTATAGAACTGCCAAGGCGGCTGACAGAGACTGAAGGAGGCGGGCCAGAGTGTCCTCTTTTGTCAGTCTGTGTTTCTCTGTTTGTGCAGCCATGTGTGCCTGCTCACAAGCATGCACATTTGTGCAAGTTGTGCACATTAGTGAGAAAGAATGAATGAGAATAATAGAGCAATCTTTAGGTATGTGTCTGTGTGCGCACATGTGCATGTGCAATACTTAATGAAGTCTTGGATGCATCCTCTGCTTTTCTGCTCGGAGGC